AAACTTTTTCTAGTTTTCTAAAATGAAATAGTAACCACAGAAATCTGATTGTCTAACATGAAAAATATAAACAGTTTAGTAAAACTAAGTTTATAACAAATAACAGATATGAATATTCTTTTTTCAGTTTCGAATTCAAGATAAAAATAAAATAATTGGCAGGTGCAATAGAAAAATAGAATATAAGAATTAACAGAAATAAAATGTTTTAAAAATATAACAGCATATATTTTATAATCTCAAAATGATGATTAACATATAATGTACATATAGATATTTGTATACACATTTACTGGACAGATATACAATAAAACATTTTTTTGAGATTGTAAACATCAAGATCAATACATGATTATTCTTTTTACCTTAATCTATTCAATAAAACATGTCAGATTAACAAATTACCTTATATTCTATCTACAATATATATTCTTCAATGCTAATAAACTCTTAATCATTACCATATGTATTCCAACAGTTTGCAAATATGTTTTAATTTTTCATTCAGGATAAATATCCATATAAAATCATAGGCAAAAAAAAATATTTTTCAACTGATTAAATTAAGTAAATGTTTAAAAAATATGTTTCAAAAATATATATTTTACACTTAACATAAATAAAAAACCTTCTTTAATTTATATTAACATCATAATTGTGAAAATTTGAAATGGTAAAACTTCAACACTGTATTTCTGTCTTTCATTTCTAGAATTTATCAAAATAAACAAAATAGAGCTTACTCAAAGAAATTAACTGTGTATTTTTAAGAAATTAACTGTATTTAAAGATATGTACAGTATTTTATCAGATATATCTTTAAACTATAACAAATAGTTTGATAGTGATAATGCTTCGGTAAACAATCTATAGCAGACAATTTCCACACTTCATGAGTTTAAAAACTGTAAAAATATTATTAAAATTTTTATTCAATTAATATTTTCTTTAATAAAAAAAATTTAACAATAAGCATGGCATAAGTCAAAAACTCAATACAATTCATCCGGATAAGGACATCACTTTTCACACAAATTGGTTTATATTTACTATATGGAAGAATTAAGATTAATTAATTGGGTAATAATTATTTTTTTAATTTCAAGTAATTCAGAATTGTTTAAACTAAATATATAAAGTTTTGGATCACGCTAAATCTCTCATGTAGATATACAAAGTCATTACTAGGTACAGGAGAAGCTAAAAAGTCACTAAAAGTTAAAGCATTGATTTCTATGATGCTTTTAAATAAAACCCACCTAAATTTGAGAAGAATAAAGAAAAAATTAGGTAAAATGAAAAATTTTGATGTTTATAATATAAATACCATCAAGCCAAAACAAGTTAAGGACAAAAATGTAAAAAAGTAGATTCAGTAAGACTACTACCCATAAAATGGCAAGATCAAATTTCCAATTCAAAAACAGGGAAGAGAGAAAATGTAAAAATTATTAAAGAAGAAGCAATTATTTTATTTTACATCCATCAAAAGATTCTTTGAATGATGCTTAAAAAATTTCACTTATTTTAAGTTTCTCATATTTGAATGTAGTCACAAAATTTCACACTGTTGCTTTAAATATAACATTAATATTTCTAAGCTTAAGAATTGAAAACCTGTTAAAATGCAGAAAAATATAAATACAGATTTTTTAAAGTAATAATATTCATTATAGAAATGCTATTGTAATCACTGCTTTATAGTTCACGTTAAAATTTCTTTTCTTTTTTTACATCATTAAATATTATTCTTAAAAATTTTTATAGTAATTTTAAAATAACACCAATAAAATGTATAACATTCTAAAAATCAGTAAAAAATCTTTATAATTACAGAAACAAAATTAAAGTTATATTTACACTAAATGTAACTTAAAGAGTTTTTAACTTAACTATACTAAGTCAATGAATAAGTTTAACTTTGAAGTATTTAAAAAATACTTTTTATATCATTAAATTACTCACTTGAAGATAATAATAACTATAAAAAAACAGCTGTTTAACTCATGTGTGAATTAAGTCTAAAAATTAGTAAAAAGCAAACTAAATATATCCAATTAAAGAAAAAAAGTTTTTAAAAAAAATTACACTAATATCCACACGGCATTATTTCAGCTTATATATTTTATGCTATGAAGTAAAACAGAAAATAAAAGACGCTTTATTGAAGTCAGTATATTTATAAAAGGTCTTGAAACTTACATAATTTGCAATGGCAATGAAAAATAATATGTGAAAAGTAACTTTAGGAAAATTACAACATTTACCAAATTGCATCATAAACTGAATTGTACTAAATGTTTATCTCAAACAGAAGAAAAAAAGAGGGAGAGAAACTTTAAGGAACAAACAATTGTTTTTCAAGCAAAGTAGTTTAGTAATTTGGTTAAAGAAAATAATAGACATGAAATATCAAAAATCAAAACTGCTTAATGTCACATAGTAACCAGAAAAAATACAAAAATCCTCCACATTTCTCTTTAATGCAGAGCAATTAAATAAATTTTTCAAATTTTGATGGCAAATGGCTTAAGTAAAATGTATTTTATGAACAGCAACAGCAGGAAACAAAAGAATTTTCAAAAATTATTTTTATAATAAAACTGAAGCAAAACAATGGTAGATCTAGTAATCCTAGTTAAAAATCTTAGTGATAACTAAGAATATAATTTGTACATACATACATTAAACGAGGAGAATTTCCTTTTTAATCATAAATTTTCAAAAAATAAATACCCCAAAACAAGTTACCTATTTAAAGCAGAAAAATGTATTTAAACCAAAAAAAATAATGCATTTTTCTAAAGAAAATGAAAGATACAAATACAAACCTGCATACTCTCAGTTTTATAGTAGAGTAATCATGTTTGTTACACATTATTTTAAAGAAAATAATGTAAAAACAGAAAATATTCCTTGAAATTGAGCTAGAGAACTAAAAGATATATTAGAATAAAAGACACACAAAAGCATAGTACAAGCTAATGTTCAGTAACAGTTAGCAATTCATTAGCCAATATAGGGTCTAAGAAAAACTATCCATATTTTATAATGTGAAAAAGATGATATGCAATAAATGAAGATAAAATAACTTAAACATTGAGCTTTCAAAGTATAATGATAAACTATAAATTTTGTTTCTAAATAAATATTGGTAATTTAAATGGATTATAATAACCTTGGATTATAAATATGAACAAAAAGACAATTAAAACAAATTTGTGAACTGTTAAAAGTTAGAATTTAACTCTGGTAAACAGGTAATAGAACATGATTAAATTCCGAAATACCAACAGAATTTTCTTTCAGAGAAGAATAAACCCTGGATTTGTGAAAAAAAAAGGAAAAAAAAGAGAATTTGATATTTCTCTAATATTCCATAGACCTACAAAGTTTCAAACCTTAATTTAATTAGAAATGTGTCATTAGTTATGGATATTTATTTTAAAACAGAAGGAGGATAGAATTAGAGGTCGGGCAGCTCCAAAAAGCAAGATACATCGATCAGAGGTTTATTGTACCCAAACCCTAGATCATGACTAGCAAAAAAGCTTTGTAGTTGAAACTAAGTTCAGCAAACACCTGACAGGAAAGACTTGTAGTTCCCAGGTCTTAAAGCAATGTTGCCCCAGATGCTCAAGTCTTTGAGCAGAAAAGACTTCACATTCACAAAGAATATGTCTCTTCCTCAAGATGATAAAGAGGATCAGATACAATACCCATAATGTAGAGGTGTCTCCTGAGGGTACAGGGAACAGTGAGAAGACTAATGATCTTCCTCAAACCATTCCAGTTAAGCTTGAAAAACTCTTTCTGGCGGCCCTTTAGCATCTTAGCTTATCTCTGACCGTCCGAGTTGCATCACTGCTCATAGGCAATCTTGCCTTAGAGATTGAAAATAGAGGCCCTGAAGGATGTGGGAGAGATTCCCAAAGTTGGTTTGAGGACACAGAAAAATTGCAGCCTAGCTCCCTTGCTAAATCATCAGTCAGCTCACTTTCAGGAATACCCATATGCCCAAGCACCTAGTGTAGGTATACCTCGGATAAATATATATAATCGGATAATAAATTTATCCATAATATAATGCAAGAGGATAAATATGTAGTTACAAGTTCCAATTTAATAACTTTAAACTGAAAAATAAATGCCTATCGTCCTATGAAAGAAGTGCTTACATAAAAAACTTTTTCAAATTTAATATTCATAAGGTAAAAAAGTTTTATGGAATAATTGATAGTTACACTCTCATTACTCTGAAAGGGAACATTGTGTGAAAGGAAAGGACTTTTTAAAAAAGATCTAGTATAATTTATTGGTATGTAATTTTCCTGATGAAATACAGGTTGGAAGGCATTTGTCCATTTGATATGCCAGTTGTCTAAAGCACCACTAACCAAGTACATGAATAATTTTTCTCTATTCTTACATTGTACAATCAAAACCTGTACAATCTTACATTGGCTCTTTTTCTGTGATATTAGATAATTATATTAAATATTAATATTATGTGAAAAAGCATAGCATATAATGCTATGCATTTATGGAAAAAGCTGTATTTTAGATTTTCTTTTTTATCTGTATTTCAAAGTTTCAACAGTACTGTTTTAAACAATTGAACAGAGTCAGAAAGAAAGCTTGAACATAAAATGCTAAGGAATTGATAAAATTTTTATTTTTATGATTTGCTTCCTGCTGTAACTAGTAAAATACAAAATTTCTGAAATGCGATCAACTATAGCTTTCTGCAAACAAAAAATGAAAGTATTCTCAATTATTCAATAATTTTTTGAATATTCAAAAAAAAAAAATTTTTTTTTAAAAAAATAAGTAGCTCAATGATGTATTATTTTTTTAATAATTTTCTTCATTATACTTTCATTAAATTCATATCCCTATGTTAAAATCAAGTATATTTACGAAAATATAACAATCTAAAACCTCGTTATTCCTGTAAAATAGGTATCTCATAAAATCTTTAAACATATATATATATATAGTTTTACGTACATGTATATAGATACATAATACAGTCAACAAGATGAAGTGTTTAGCTCTTGAGAGATTAGAACTGTGGTATTATCTTCAATAAATGTGCGCATAAACATGAACAACAATTTGTATTTACAACATACAATAATAAATTCTCTTTTTACCACTATAATATAAGTTGATCTATTTTCATCACATTTAAATAAAAATAACAATTTAAGTATATTTTGGACTTATAACTTTTATGTTGTTATATCAATATACACAGTTGTAAAAAAATTTAAACTATAAACTAAGGTTCAAAAAATGTCTACGCTATTATAAAGATTTTAAATGGTATTTCATATCTAGTTAAAAGATGCATTTTAAAATTGTAAATGAAACTTTTTGATTAAAAAAATTAATGCCCTGTTAACAAAAAGAGCATTTTTAAAATTACATTTGAAGCATTTCATTCAATTTTAAGATTAAAATAACTAATGATTATAAATGATGAAAACTCTTTAGGAAGCCTTTGAGATTGAAAATAACTGACTGACTAGAGAATGGTAAATATGTTTATGAAAAATTGGAGAAAATTATAAAAATTAAAATTTAATGTACACAATATGATTGAAAAATTTGCATAGAAATGATGAATAATAACATACCAATAAAATATATTTAAATTTATAACTATTTATTTATTTATTATGGTCATAATAAAATTATCAAAATCTAGTAGTGATTAAAATATTTCATAAACTAAAGATTGTACTGCTAAAAGTTACCATAGTAACTCTTTATCAACAACAACAAACAAACAGAGGTAGAATTTAAAAAAATGAAAAGTCATCATTAACTTTTGTAATAATTTAAAAAAAGAAAACATTAAAATGCTTTGTACATTTCTTTTGGAAAAACTCTTTAAAAATTCTATGATAGCCGTTTCTTCAAACGACTCAGCAAGTATACAAAAACTAATATATCAATAATAACTGTTGCATCACAATAAGAAGGGAGCACCAGCACAACATTTATCCACTCACAATACACAAGCTAGATATTTGGTTACATCCAAGAGTGGGAATTGCAATAATGTAAAATATCACTCCCTCGCAAGTCATAAAGCCTTTTTTTTTCTAGTATTCACATTTGTTAACAAATAAATGTCTACCAAAACAAAAACAAAACTCAGTTTGTACACTATAACATCATAAACAAAAGATTTCAACAATAAGCAATTCATATCACATAAAACTCAAGAATAAAATCAAAATCACTAAAAAACAGAAATCATGGTTAATCTTGCACAATCTAAAAGGTCAACAAAACTTTAAAATAACACATCTTTCACATGTGACTTCATCCAACAATAAAAAAGCAGCGATAATATAATAAGATAACGATACAACTTCCCCTGCATCAAATATATGCATTAAGCATTTTATTATGCAGCATAATGGCTTATTTCCACTCACCCACATTAAGAAAGGACGCTGCCCAAGAATGCAGCTATCCAGACATAACTATAGCAGATTCTTCCATTTTAATTTGGGCTCTCATTTTTAAGCCTTTGATTCGCATTCACGAGCTATGTGACCCATTTCTCCACAGGAGTAACACTTGTTTCCTCTGTTGGAGTTGCAATTCCGAGCAATATGACCTTTCTCACTGCATCTAAAAAATAAAATAAAAATTTTTTTCTTTGATCTTTACATTTAGTATTAACAATTGGAGAGTATATCAGAAGATACAATACATTTTTCCGTATTGATAAACATAATAAATCAGAAAAAGACATTTTTGTTACCGGCCAAAAGTAATATTTTTAATAAAGGTTACTTTTAAAAATATAGTCACTTTCTTAAAAATAGAAAATTCTAAACTATTGAATAAACTACTGATACAGTTAAAATAAAGAATTTCTCAATATGGTAAACATCACAGGACTCATTTTTAAATTGAAAAAAGAAATGTTCATGACCTCTCTAACTAGATTTATTTAAAATTTAAGTAAAATTAAAATTTAAGTAAAATTAAAATTTAAGTAAAATTAAAAAATTTAAGTAAAATTAAAATTTAAGTAAAATTAAAATCTAAGAAAATTAAAATTTAAGTGAAATTAAAATTTAAGTAAAATTAAAATTTAAGTAAAATTAAAATTTAAGTAATGTTTTTAACTATCAAAACTTAATGTTTGAATTTTTGGAACAATAATGCAACATGAAATTTGTGGTTACTAACAAACACAAAAATTTGTTTATTAAAAAATAAATCTAAAACGATTGCAATTATAAAATGAGTAGTTGAAAGTACCTGTTTCAGAGCACACGGGGAGCATTTTCAAAAAAAAATAAGCAGGTCCACTTTTTGTATTTAATTGCCCTGTGGCATTTGGGCAACCTAAAGTTTGTTCTATAATGAACATGCTATGCAGTGTCTTGAATTGCAGTGCTCATCCAAGATGCTAGATCTCAGAATGCTACAACTTGAAGACGTAAATGTGATTGCAAATGAGTTTACATATGGTACTTGCCTGAGGTTGCCAGGACAATTCTTCTTGGATAGCATTACAATTGTACCTTTGCCTGACTGTTTGTCTCACTTGCAAGAGCTTATGTGTGGACATTAAGAACTTCATACAAGATAATGCAAAATATTCAACCAAACAATTACTAATTTAGATTTTCAAAAACAGAGTGCTTACTTATAGCAAACTGTCTCATCCACTTCAGTATAACTTCCAGATTCAGGACATTCTTTGCTAATATGACCACCAGCACCGCAATTGTAACATTTTCTTTCATCTTTATCAGCCTCAGGACAATCCCGTGAGATGTGGCCAATCTTACCACACCCGTAGCACTAATAACATGACAAAAATACAGAAATATTTTAAATTTTCGTGAAAAGTAACAAAACTATACAAATTTACTTGATACAACATTGAACCCTGCATTTTTATATAACCCAGTCAAAAAAAAAAAAAAAGACAGAGATTATTCCGCAAGCTAAAACATATGTTAGCTATGCCCATTAGAATATTATAATATGAACTGCATTATTTATAAACCTAAATAATGCATAATTCACTTTTATGCTATATGCATAATTCACTTTTCTTTTAAGTGAAACTTTTTAGCTTCTCCTATACTTATTAATGACTTTGTATGTCTATTAATATAAATGATACAATTAGTGTGATCCAAAACTTTATATATTTAATTTAAACAATTCTGAGTTACTTAAAATTTTAAAAAATAATTATTACCTAATTAATAATCTTAATTCTTCTATATAGTAAATATTAACCAATCTGTGGGAAGAGTAATGTGTTTATCCGATTGAATTATATTGAGTTTTTGACTTATGCAATGCTTATTGTTCAGTATTTTTCGTCCACCCAACACAAAATTGCTGAAAAGAAATAACAAATGAAAATAGTGCACAAAATCTCAATTCAGCGAGATAATTTATAGCAATGCTAAAATAAGGAATTTGTATTACTATGACAATAGCTGGCCAGAAATTATTATAAAAATATAAGTGTCATTCACAATTATTTTTAAGAAAAAAACAAAACAAAAAAATTAAAGATAAGAATACCGATTCAGTGAGAAAATTTATTGTAAGGTTAAAAGGAGGCATCTGTAGTCAGAAAACCCACTTCAAATTTTTAATTAAATTGAAGAAAATGTTGATAATTGTAGGAAAATTTCTGATCTTCTCATAATTGTAAAGGAAATCTACTCAAAATAGCTGCACTAAAATAATCTTCTAATTGATAGCTTTGTTCAAATTATGCAAATTGAATTTCTAGTTAGAGAAAAGGAGTTTCAAACAAGCTTCAATTTGACTTTACTTTTATAAAGAATATGTTAAATATTCAGCATAACAATAAAAATACATACTTTGCGGTCATCTTGTTCACAGTCTCGAGAAATATGCCCTCGTTTTCCACAAATATAACAAGTTTTCTCATGTTCTTTACACTCACGTGCTATGTGCCCTGTTCTACCACAATTATAGCAAGACACTAATATTGAGAAAGAAAAAATATATAATATTTTACATAAATAGCATGTAAAGTTTTTTAACAAGATTTTTATTTCGGGAAAAAAAAGAAGAAAAAAAAACCTCATAAACTAAATTTTCATAATAAACTTTCATAAACTTTTAAGGTTATAGAATAATAAAAAAAATTTCAGGCATAAATTTAAACATCTATTTCATTTCAAACATAAAAAAATGCTATTTTAAAATAGCATTTATAAAATAAATTTAAATATCATAAATTTAATCTTATCTCAAACTTAAATTATATTAACATATACAAAGCATCTCATTAGTTGAAATAACTTTTAAAATATACAAATACAAATCTGCATGAATAACATATTATGAAGTCAGATAGAATACACAATAGCCAGTTTGTTAAAAAAAAAAAGGGGGGGGGAGTAATGAAATTTAAAACTGCAATTTTGGGACAAATGGCATAAATGAGTTTTGCATTGCACACAAGCCACCTTTAGCATTGCACAGAGGCCACCCAGCTTTATCTAGACATAGGACTGGCCATTTTAAAAGTTTAACCTTTCACGAATTGATAAGACATATGCCAATTATTAGTGCTCAATCATAATCTCTCCCTCTCATATCATTTATTGTATCAGTGCCTCTACGAGGCAACTGGTGAATGAGGGAGAGACTTTTTGTGACTTGTTGATGCAACAGGATCTTTTGGACTTGTTTTAGTTGTATAAGCCATGGGGATAAGCAACAACAACATATACTGATTTATAATGGACATAAATTTACTATCTCTGAATTTCACAACAATCCAAAAACATAATTAAAACAATTGTGGTTCACTAGTACACTCGTTAATTACAAAAACAGATTTATAGAGAAGGCGGATACAGGGATTTTTCACATAAGAAACACCCAGTTCAATTCAATTAGGAACACTTTAAAGTTAACAATGTTTTTCATGTTCATTTCAGAATGTAAAATATTTATTATTTCCGGATTATTTTTAAAAAAATTAGGAAATCAAAATTTAGATCTCATAAAACATGAAAAATCCATTTCCATACTTTCATCTGGTGCATTATCACAATCTTTAGCAATATGTCCAGCTCCATTGCATCTGTAACAACGATCCTCAGTTTCTTTACAATCTCTCGCAAAATGACCAATTCTATTGCATTTGAAACATTTTTCTAAACACCAAAAAATAAGGATATCAAACAAAAGCATTGATCATTTTCTTTACTGATTATCAATTCAAAACAAGGCACATTTAAACTTAAAAAATAAATATAGATTTTATACCTCTGGGCATTGAACGCATATCAACCCTTCCACCACGGCCGCCACCTCTATTCCTTGATCCAATATACCGTATTCCACCATTTTGAGTGCATTCACGTGCAAAATGTCCAACTTTGTGACATTTGTAGCATTCATTGGAACTCATAGTGAAGCTAAAAGTAACAAGTGCATACATTAAGTTTACATATAAAAAAAATTTCTTAATACAAAATCTAAATATACTTAAAGAAAAAGCAACTGCAAAAAAAAAAGGGTTAAAAAAAATTTCTTTTCAGTACAGTACCTAGTAAGATTAATAACATTCATTAAGCATCATATGAAAAAAATATTAATATCATTCATATTTAATAAAAACAAAAGTTAAATTGAAAAAATAACCTATTTAAATCTAGCAAAATTTAAAAATATTTCAGTAATACATGCCGAACAAAAAATGATTCTTTAATAAAAATTCTATGATATCATTGCATATTAATTAAAAATTCTATCATATCATTGCTGCATTGCTTTTTGGAATCAAATGTTTCCAATATCAGATAAAAAAGAAAAATAAATAATTGTAAAGCAACATCCTATAATATCTGTTACTGCTTTCGCTGAAGACAATAAGTGTATAAGTTCTTCAAGATATCAAACATAAAAATAAGTAGTATTACATTTCATAAACTTACATTCCAATTCTTGTTATATATTATATTATTATATAATCCTATTACATATCAATATTATTATATAATCTTACTATATATGCTAATTTTAAATTTATACAGTGAAAATGATATAAAATAATTACTCTTGTGATTGATTGTTCATAAAAAAATTATACGAAAGCTTTAAGACCAATATTTCCTAACACTTCGTCACTTATCTTAAAATCATAAGAGTTCTACATAAGAATAACTGATTTAACTAACTATACTCCGTTGCAAGTTAAGAAAAGATCATTGCGGTTACAGGATTTAAGTAATCATCCGCGACTGCTTATAGTTCCATTTTATTTTGTAATCAAATTATACAAATAGACTCTCAAAGCACAATAGAAGCTTTAACAGAGTTCCCACTCAATTTTCCAAAAAAAAAAATTATAATTACAGGACTTTTTAATGACCTACTCAGTAATAGTTAATATGCTAAAAAACATGTCAAACAGATTTTATTACATTGAAGTATATATTAAATTTATCAATTTTTCATTGCTTAATGGTTGTGACAATTTTTTAATATGTGTATCCCACAGCTACTAAAGGAAATGTTTTGATAGTTACTTTGTGTTTTAAATAAGTTTGAAGATCAACAAAAGATTTCCGATTGACATTAGCATACTTGCCAACTTTTAAAGAATGGCACCAGTAAAACTTTACATAAAATTTTAAAGAAGCACATTAGAATTAATTGAAAAATTAATATTTAGCATAGCTGTTTCAATTTTAAAAACACAATGCCTTTTTATTACTTAAGAATATCAGGAAATGTATTTTGAACATAATAAAATCTTTTGTCAGGGTTCCCACTCTATGATGAGATTGAAATTCATGGACTTTCCAGGACTTTTCAAGGACCTCAACAAAATTTTCAAGGACCTTAATCTAAGACCAATTTTAAAAATTATTCTCTTCTATTTTACTAGAAGCAACAATGCTTGTTGTGGCAATAATTAATTTCAAATATAATACCTAAATGCTTTGCCTATATAGAGAGAAGAGAGTATATGTATTATGGACTAANCTAAGACGTTTTTCAAGCACTTTCAAGGACCTAAATTTAGCAAAAAAAATTCAAGGACTCTCAAGGACCGTGGGAACCCTGTTTGTAGTACGACATTTTCATGGAAAACAAACTGAGATTTAAAAGACATTATTCCGTTTAAAATAGATCATAAATCACAAAATCTGATTTTTTCAATTTTATGAATGTAATTCTCCATGTCTAATTTTTCAATTGTGTGTATACAAATCGCTATATGTTACATGTAAATCAAATTGCATGAAACATGAAGCAAGTCTTGAAGATCGTGTAAATTATGTACCACAATGACTTGCAATTTGAAATGCAATGCATGTTTTGTAAATTAAAACAATATGAATAGTAAATCGTACAGTTTTAAAAATGCACAAAATAACAAGTCGTAAATTGGGATGAGTTATACATAAACCACTTTAATGTGCTACATAAACATGCTGCATGATTCTTTGATTACTTTAATACAAAACACAATGTTTGATTTACTAATCATTTATATGTAAAAATCTATGCATTATCTGGTAATCATTGCAATGCAAATGTGATTCAATAAGTAACTTAAATTAGAATAGCTAAGTGTGATTCAAAGAACATTTTGATGAGTATCGCAAACAGTAATTCTTAAATCCCTCTTATGCTAGTTGTGATGTGTAATTCTTAAAGTCTTTCCCTGATTTGTAAATCACCTGACTGAAAATTGTGATACATGATTTAGAAAATATTTTCTGCAAACCCTGATGAATGATTTACGAATCACTTTAATGAGATCTGCGACATGTGATTCCTAAATCACTTTCCTGCGAATCACGATGTTTGATTCATAGTTCACAGAATCTAAAGAACTAAATTTTACTTATTAGTGGTAAAAATGAAATGTAAAAATCTCAAAATAACAAAAAATTAAAAGTAGTTAATACAACGATTATATTTAAAATGCAAAGAAATACTGCACATAGACTGGTAACTAAAAGTTCCTGCAAACATGCAAATTATTAATTGCTAGAGATTCCAACTTTCTACCATGTCAAGGCGAACGATAATCTAGGGAGAAAAATATAGGAAGGAAAAATTATATATTCTCATTTCACTTTCAAAAATTTACTCATCGGAGCTTATTGAAAATAGCATTAGTGAAAATTTCCTTACCATTTCATATTTGATAGCATTATAAATTGCATATAATCGGAAATTAGTAGAATTTCAGTATTGTAAAAGAAAAAATATCGGAATTTCAGCAAGCTCCTTCCATTCTCTACGAATTGAAATAAAACTTTTATTTTTGCACATTAGCAAATAAAATGAAAAGTTACAAAAATTGCATGTTTTTAAATTAGTGCATGTTGAAAACAAGGCTTCACTCAATAGTTTCTTTTCACTTTTGGTTTTCCCCCACCCCACTTGTATTTTGTAATAGTACAATCACAAGAGATGGGCAATTAAGGATAAGAGTTTTTGTCTGAATTTAGATCTAACTCCCACCTAGGTGACCTTAAACTATTCTTCAATAAAGAAAACAGCAAATTGAAGGGGAATGATCATAATTTCCATTATTTTGCTTGTGGTTTTTTTTTGTGTGTGTGTGTGCTTTTTTGTAGGAAAGGTTCTTATTTTGAAAACACTTTGAGAAAATCAAAAACTTTCCATGTACCCTATCACAGAATTCATTCTCTTTTCGGGGCCCTGATTTTTCCCAACAAAATTCAAGGACTTTCAAGGTTTCTCAAGTACCGTGGAACACTGTTTTAAAAGTTATACAGGTCAGATAGAAATTTAATTTGTGCTATCTTTTACGATATATATCATAGAATTATTAAAAAAAAGTTATAGTTCTGTAGTTTTACTGAAATCCTAGAGCTTGTCACACATTTTGATAAATAAGGAGACATTCAATCTTGAAAACGAAACAAATATATGATGTTGCAAAAGAATTGGACTTGATAAGACCATAAAAAATGGCACATAAACAGGCTCTCACCGTAAGGATGGTGATTTTTCCTTAATTTGCAACAGAGTATATAGAAAAAACATTTTTTTAGGATTTTTTTAATGCTGCTGTTTTACAATACAAAATCACATGGCCAACTAAATTATTGTGTTATAAAAAGATATATATATAAATCTGAATAATAACTTGTCTTAATTTATCTATGCATAAATTCACAACAAATTTTTATAAAACAGCTTTCAATTAAAAAATAATACTTAATACTATTTATTAAATAGAAATGATATTTTTTTTCTGTGTGAGTGATGTGTACTCTCTCTGAATAAAGATTTAACTAAGCATAAGTTAAACTTCAAAATGTGCAATATTTCAAACTTTATGGCCAATTTAATTATCACAATTTCTTTTCACTATTACATTATACTATGCATGTGTATCACATAATATACATTATATTATTGATATAGGAAACTAAAAATATCTCAACTAGAATGATGCTAAGTATTGTTGAAATAAAGTTCTACTGTGCAACAAAATTTTGGTTTTGACACATTATTCCCTTTTGCAATCACCAGAACCTGTATTATATATTACTAACTTATTTTACAAATAAATATAATAGAAATAATTGTTCAATTGGTGATCTATGGATAGCAAACAATAGCCCAATCTCATCATCATTACTGAGAATGAGTCACAAGAGCCAGGAATGCAGCACTAAAAAAATAAAAATACCAGACATTAAATTAATTATTCTTGCAAGTTCAATCCAACAAAATTTGAAATGTTGAAGTACCATTCATTCTAATAGCCAGGAACACAAAACTTGAGATTTTAATTTTTATCAAACAAAATAATCATTCACAATCCTATTTCATTTTCAAAATGTAATTAGATTAACCTTCTTACAATTATTTATTTCTATATAATTAATTAATGTATATGAATTTTAGAAGCATAATCAGGGATCATTTTATGAGAAATTTGGATCCATTAACAGACCTTTCACAAATTTTTCATTGCTAAAATAGTCCCTAAGCAAAATAGTTCATTATAAAAACGAACATTTCGCAAAATATCATTTTATCTTAAGAACGGCCTGAACCCAAAGCTTTTCTTTTTATACAGGAAGTTAGTGACATTTGTAATTCAAAATTTTAGAAGTAAAATTTCTTGAGCTTTAAAATTAAATCTTCTTTTAGTTCTCTTTCATAAAAATAGGATTTTAAATTCGTAAAATTAGAAGTAGATGTTCAATATCTACCTTGTTTAAATTGTAAAACAGTCTTATAAATTAATTTTTTTAAATAAATTTTATTTCAATGCTCTTTCGTCACTCTGACACCGAAATTTTCATTTTTTTTAATAGATGCAGTTAGCCATATGTTAAAATTTTCACTAGAAATAAATAAACGGAAACAGAATAAAATATACCAAAAAATATATGTAGTGACGGCCACTTATAAAATCACTCAATTATAAAATTAGCCGATCTTTAAAATCAAATCCGCTAGAACGAAAGTCATTATATATGCTACAATTATCATTTAATGAAATCATTATAGTCATTTCATAAAATCAAATTTTTGTGAGCTATATGTTTTAAAATTAGAAAACCCTCTTTTTTGAAACATTATAAACATCTATTATCTCAAATTTTGTAAGGCATATAAATAATAAAATTTATCTAGCCTCTAACCAACAAAAAGTACAAATTTACAAATGTGAATAACACTTCTTAAGGAAATTGAATGTTGAGAGTAAAAGAAATTATCAAGAGGTATAAAAAAATCCAGAAAATAACTGCTGATGAATTGAGAATATTTATGGAATGTCTCCCATCAGATAATGTCAACCATCATCACCCACTCAATCATTTAATAAGGCAAATCTAGATGCTAAAAAACATCCAATATTTCAAAATAAACTTTACAAAAATGAAAAAACACTAAAAGTTAATAGCTTTTATAAACTTTTAAACCATGTTTAAGTTTTTGACTTCAAATTTTGCTAGTCAAACAAATATGCTAATATTTTAAAACCCTTCTGTATATTAAAAATTACAGTTTATATTTAATTAAAATGCTGAATATAAATTACATAAATAATCAATTCAACTTTTTTAATGTACTTGTTATGTTAAACTTTGAAACATTTTTTCCCTAAGTGTAAAATTATATGTTCTCAAAATAACCATGTTCTTATTCTGCGGCAGGCACTTTATTCAACATCTTGCTGTTTAAATAAGAAAAAATTTTGCATATATTCAAATACATTTATAATAATTACAATTTATATAATTTAAATAAAAAAAATACTAAAGTAAATTTTATAAATTTAAATGCGTAATATCAGCATATTATAACACATAAAAAGAAGTCAACATTTTAATATAGCATATTACAAAACAATTATGATTAAATTGAAACAAGCATAAAATTGTTGAAAACTAAATTACCAATATTTAAAATAGTTTTTCATAAAACGTTAATCAATCCAAATCTTAAAACTAAAACCATATATTTAAAAAAAAAATTTCGACAAAAATATTTCGTTCACAGGTGTTTAATTTATTTCGATATAAAACTGTTGTTTTGTTTTTAAAAATCATTAACAAATAAATAAAAATTCAACTTTTACAATTATTAATAAGGATTTAATTTTAAAAGCAGTTATTCAGATTAATTAAATAAAGCAATTACTTTTTTTCTCGTTAAATATTTCACCAATGAAGTAATAGAAGGTATTGAAAAAATAAATATGCAATAAGGCAGTTGTTGAAACTGCTTCCTCATCTTCTAATAACTCAATCAATAAATCATAAACAAAATACTCAACTGTTTAAAATTGCAGTAGCCTAATATAGTAGCTTAAAATTTATAGCTGATTTAATCATATAAGCAACCGATATATTAACTTAATTCAACAGTAAAAAATGAAGCAATGCAAGACATTCCGACAAGGAAAATTTAATAAAAAATTATCAACCAAAATCAGAAGCGAAAAAAATGACCAGACAGATTTGCAAACTATTATAATAATAAATAATTCGAAAATTATTTTTCGTAAAAACTTTAAAACTTAAGTGACTTAAAAAATAAGGAATTAATAGGACTAATCAAAGACAATTTACCGTAAATAACGTTTGTAAACAGCAATATGGATTTTTTGATGATAAACAAATACAAGATGGTCGCACACCTTGTTGCCATATCCTAAAATTTAATTAACAAACAATTCAACCGCAATGTAAGCTACAAACACCTGTATCTAGTATGTCATGTCTAAACAGTGCCAGTAACTTTCTACATAGCGCTTTTAACAAAAATTACAGTAATGAAGGACAAAACAGAAAAGAAAGAAAGAAGGAAAGAAAGAAAAGAGCACGTTCGAATTTTATTGAAATACTTAAAAACCGTTTTTGCTAGAGGCAATTTTCTCTCATGTGACTGAGAATCTGATTGGTGAAATATTTTTACCCGCGAAAAACTATAGCCATCTTCGGAAGTGTTAGCTTACCATAAGATATAAAATCATGCGGTATTTAGATTTGTATTAAGAGAAAACTGTAACAAAAAGTTCAAACTTTTGAGCAACATGAAATACTTTTGCTTTAGCTAATTTAATAACACTTAAATATTTTTAAGTGGTGAATTTTTAATTTTTTATCAGAATAAATCAATGTTACTTATCATGATATAACTGAATAAAATGAACGTGTTTGATGCTTTTCTTGAAGCAGTATTATGTGTATTTCATAATAGGAAATGATTTTACACGAATATTTTTTCTTTTAATTTTAAATCTTGGTTCATAAACTATTTTTAATATCAGAAGATTAAACCTTATCTAAGGAGTATAATTTGTTGTTTTCAAATATGTAATCAATCATTAGATTTAATCATATATTTGAAAATAAGAAATGATACATTTTAATAAGGAAATGAATACGAGAGAAATAAAAATATGTTATATCAGGGAAGAAAAAAAGACAAATAAAGAAATTATAATTTTATTGGTACATTTTCATACAATTTATATTTCAAAATAGGTTCTGAAGAATTCTTTCAGAATCATATGATATACATTTAAATTCCAATGGAAATAATCTAAACATAAACACTGCAATTATTTACAAATAAACGACGCTTATGATATTTAAATAGGATAAAATAATTTAGCTAAGTATAGTAATTATAAAGTAATAATAATAAATAAATTATAAGCAATTTATAAAAGTATTTCGTACCTCAAGATTGCAAAACTTTAAAATAGTGTTTATTATATTCTGAAATAAATATAAATTTTTTTATTTCGTGTTGATTATTATTAAAAAGTAAAGTATTTTCAAATCTTAAGTTTTTCTAACATATAAATTTATTGATGACAATCTTTCTCATAAGATTTGTTAAAAAAAATATCACAAAATAGAGATTACTCTAGAAAATTATTAGTAGAAAATTATTGCACACAGTTAAAATGTTTATGATAATCTTCATAACTCCTTTCGATTACTACGATTAAGAATTTATTTGCAAAGTAAAAGTCTTTACCCCCTGAGTTCTGTCTAAAATAAACCTCTTTACAAAAACAAATATGAAACGTTTTTTTAACAAATATTAGCTTTATTTAGATGTCGTAATGAAAAAAGTAACTGTTCCTAATTTGTAACTAAGAAGATGAGTAATTTTTTTATTATTAACAAAATAAAAAAAAATTAATTAAAATGAACAAAACAATTTACTTTCTCTTGGTTAATTAAAGATACAGATCAACACAGCTCAGCAGTTTTATAAATAATGCTGTTTAACATTATCAATATACTGTTTATCATCAATATAATAAAATAAAATAGTTATAAAATTTTAATAAATAAAAAATTAGTACTTACTTGAATATCATCATGCTCTCGCTTTCGTATTGCGTTTCCATCCATAACGAAGAGAATCAAAAGGATCCTTTTGATTTAGTAAACGATTAGCCTAACGATTTAGTAAAAATAGCAAAATGAGAAGTAAAAAAACTTTAACTTAATAATTTTTAAAACTTAACATATTAGAAGGCACGCTTATTCACCGAAATGCATGCGAGCAAGTGAAGTACTATCACTAGAGTGAAGATAGTTTAATTCAATTCGCATACTTCTGCTCATGGATTTTTTTAACTCGCGTAGGTTCGATCCCCACTCGAGCCTAAAATATCAATTCATTCTGATTTTAAAATAATTAAATTAAAAATTATTTACTAATGTAATTCCATATATGAAGCAAACCAAAAAAAATAGCTTAATATTTAGATGCATTTATTTTATTTTTAAAAAATATTACAAAATGTTATTTAAATTAATATTAAATTTTTTTTATTATTATGACATGTTAATAAGTTTAATTTATTTTTTATTCATATAACTAAAAACTAGTTAATTCAGTTACTAACGCATACTAAATTAGATATGAATCATATCTAATCTCATAAAAATGACAGTTTATTATTTAAATATAATTCAAATTTATTTTAATTTCATTTAAATCATGTAACTAAAGATTAATTAATATGAAAACCTTTTTATTATGTTAATAAGGTTAATTTATTTTTGATTCATGTAATTATAAATAAATTTAATCAATCCGGCTATTAATACATTTAAAATCATATATTTCATTAATCATAGCTAATGTTATAAAATGCAGACTTTATTACTTAAATATATTATAAATTTATTTTAATTTATTTCAAAATCATATTACTAAAGATTAATTTATATATTAAAACCTTTTTTGATTGAGATTCACTAATTTTTAAATTAATATCATTAATAAAATCAATATTAGTACTATTACATAATTATTCAATTATTATTTTAATTTATTTTATTTTCTTCCGTAAGTTTAGATTTTAAAGTTTTTATTTCTTACATTCACAAATAGATGGCACCATTAATTCTCCCCGAACCAAACAAGAGTTGCTGCCCCCTCTAAAAATATTAAAACATGTTAGACGGGCAGAAACAATTATTTAATAACTGTAAAAGGTTAAGTGAAAAATATATCGATGAAACTGTAGGATGATATCGATATCAAATACTTTTCATTTATACACGTGTTCTGTATACAAAAGTTTAACTTATTTACACATATCTAATCAAGCATTCGTAGGTCAGTGGTTATGATATCCAACTACTGACCCACGAAGGCTTTTTGATTGGCATGAGTTCGATCCTCAGCCTTAATTATGTTTAATAAATAATAATAAAACTGATTTAAAAATTAAAATTGATTTAAAGTTATTTTATTCCCACATAGATGGCGCCACTAGAGTAAAAGCATGATATTAATTTACTACGTAATAAAAGATGGCGTCATTACTTCATAACATTCAATTTCTCCCCCAAATAACAAAGTTTATAAGTATTGCCTTCCTTAAAAACTAATATTAAAAATAATAAGTGCTGCCACCCTCAAGAAACTAATAAATTAAATAATAAACAGAAACCGAAACTAAAATCGATACTGCAGACCGGCAGAAACAAACATACGGGCAGAAATGAGCACATCTTGATTTTTTTTTTCATGATGACGTCACTTCCGCCGCACGAAGAGGGGCTATCACTACTGTCGTGCCAAGAATGGTGATATAATTACTTACGTGAAATGAAAAGTTTAAAGCGTTAGACTTGTATTGGACTACAGAGTGGTGACTTATGAATTGCTGCACATTGAAAGAGCTTGATTCCCGATAACACTCAAATACTTTCTGAATTCACCGATTCTATATGCATTTGTTATCGTATATCTCCGACTAAAATCCTGCTATGAATGTGCATTGTTAAAAAAAAAAAAAAAAACTGGTTGAAACGAGAATTAAAAAATAAATGAATGAATACATTACGTTATCTTCTTCCTGTGAAAGCATCCATAAAAACATAAATCACAGATAATGATACGTTGTTTCTGCTCGGTGGGAACTTAACCTAATTTTCAGCTTTAACTTTTTACTTTTGTTTATATTATGACACAGGTATTTTCTTTCTTTTATTGAACCTTTTGAATTCAATAATTTTCAAAGACAGTGGAGAAAAGAAATGAAAATTCATATTCTTATATTATTATTGATAAAATTTGTTATTTATTATTATTTATAATTGATTAATTTGATTGATTGAATATGTTGGGACAATATATTTTAAATATATGTTTAAATTTTGAGTTGGAAATTTTTTCCTTGATAGCATACAACATATAATAATATATATAATTTTACTTAAAAATACGCAATAGTTTTGATCTAATTGAGTTCTTGTAGTTAATTACGCTGCAGAGATCTAAATTCAAATTCCTTAGAAAGGAAAAAATCTTTGTTTGAATTATTAGTTTTTCCTAACCACAGTTACATATATAATTTTTTTTTTTTAAAAAAACTGATTGAACCATATGGCTTAGCTTTAACCAGGTTATCTCAGACTTCTTGAATTTTCTTCACAAACCATATATCATGTACGCCATTGAACAAACATAGCAAAGAAAATAAAAGTTTATTTATATATTTATTTATATATTATTTATTTTTTATTTCCTTATATGTTTATTTATTGAATGCAGTTAAGAGACACACTCTTTACTTTTTCTAACTTCAGTTATAGGTTTTTAAAACGGTCATTTTGAATCTCTACCAATAGGAGTTGTTCTAAGTTATGAGAATATGCAGTCTATGGTATATATCAGCAATTTCTAAATGGTGTTCCAAGGAGCCCTGGGGCTCCGTGGACGATCCACAGGGGTTCCGGAAGTTAAAATTTTTTAAATCAGTCATAATTTTTGTAACTTGAGATTATATTTATATCCAAGTAATGAACCATAATTTCTTTGATAGTTCGGTTATTTTTATGAAATTAAGAAATGGAAAAATTTATTAAAAAAATTGCATCAGTATTTCTCGCTAAACTTTTCAATTCAAAATAAAAATGACCAAGCTCAGGAATAACGAATTATGTTTCTCTGATAACTATTCACAGCTTTTATATGAGCTATTTTTCGAAAACCATGATGATTTATTCATTTTCAGCTAATGTATACACTAAAAACAAATTCAAAACTGGACTATAGTTTGCCTAAGCTAAGAACTCCTTCCGCCACAAAGTCTGAGACAGTCTGGTGCTATGGAAACAAGAATGGAGCATTGTAAGGAGGGTAGCTTTACTCTAGGACTAACACAATAGACCGAAGAGATTTCCTTTCTCTCGCCGTCCCGACCCGAAACCACTCCAAAACAGGGACCCCGCACCCCGACTTGAAACAGTCATAGCTCGTTACCATAGTCACCACCACAGGTCCAGACGAATGTCTGGAGGAGTTCTTATTTTAGACAAACTATAAGTACCACTCAAAGTCTGCGAACTCAACTGTTTGACATAAAACCTATTATAAGAATTTTATTGATAAAATGATTATCGAAAAAAGAAATTTCATTCTTCACATTTAATTAAAGAAATTGTTAGTCTTTTTTTGGTCAATTTGTTCCGGCTGCTAATAAATTTTATTTAAATGTCTTTGGGTTCCTTCCAAAAATGCTCGATTATATAGGGTTCAGTAGTCGTAAGAAATTTGGAACCGATGCTATATACAATGAAGAGCCAAAAAAACTGGTATACCTGCCAAATATCGTGTAGGGTACCCGCGAGCACGCAGAAGCGCCGCAACACGACATGGAATGGATTCGATCAATGTGTGAAGTAGTGCTGGAGATAATTGACACCATGAATCCTGCAGGGCTGTCCATAAGTGGGAGTAAGAGGGGGCGGGGATAGCTTCTGAACATCACGTTGCAAGGCATCCCAAATATATTCAATAATGTTCATGTCTGGGGATTTTGGTGGCCAGCGGCACTCTTCTGAATTTAGACACTTCCGCTGGCCACCAAAATCCCCAGACATGAACATTATTGAATATATTTGGGATGCCTTGCAACGTGATGTTCAGAAGATATCCCCACCCCCTCTTACTCCCACTGGTTTATGGACAGCCCTGCAGGATTCATGGTGTCAATTATCTCCAGCACTACTTCACACATTGATCGAACCCATGCCACGTCGTGTTGCGGCGCTTCTGCGTACTCGCGGGTACCCTAGGCAGGTATACCAGTTTTTTTTGGCTCTTCAGTATAGTATGACCTCCATCCTCCATTACAGTGACTTTGCCATTATAACGACTAGTACAAAAAAAAAACTATTTAACATTCCATAAACGCTATATTATTTTAATGCCTATTAGAAAATCCGTACGGATATGTTTATTTCAAACAAATTAAAATTATTGTTCCTAACCGACAAAAATACGTGTGAAATCCTGTGTTTTACTCTATTCTAATACGACCCAGCTGTAAGCAATGCGAGACATTTTCTTATTTAAACAAGATAAATAGGGATTAGTAGAAACTGAACTCAGATTATTTATGGTTTTTTTAAGAAGAAAAAAAAACTAACTGGCATATGAAGTATATTCATAATCCTCATTTCATTTCCGATAAAGATAATCACCCTGCCTGAGTAAAACTTGTTTCTTCCCGATTTATCGGAATTACAGAAGACATACGACAAAAGCATTTGAAATGTTGCCCTTCTGCATTTGTTACATCTCAATATTCTTCCTTCTAAATGACGTTAGGTAAGATGGAAATTTCTATTCTTAAATTAGAAATAGCGTTTATCCAAGTGTATTTATCTATTATTTTTTTCTTTATTTATTATTTTTCTTAATTTTTAAAGACACGGATCGCAACTTCTACTTAATTACTCATCAAACTTAAGGGATACTGAAACTTAGGGGTAATTTATTCTTCAAACAGAGAAGAAGAAAAAATTTACTTCCTCCATGCTAGCCTACAGAGAATTGTGGGAGAATTGTAGAGAATTGTACAGAGAATGTGTCCCGAATTTCCTTATTTATTAAGCAGCTAATAATAATTTTTGAATATTTTTTGTGGCATTTTATTCATTAAAATGTGTTCCATTAAGCTTAGCTGCCAAATTTTCAGTTTGTAAGAATTTTTAAACTGCTAAAAAATTTTAAGAATACTGAAAATCTTAAAATTTAAAATTTGTTATATAGAAGGCCTTTCAATAAATAAAGTGAACAAAAATTATTCCAAAATATTAACTAATAGTTACTGAATAAATATAAGAAAATTCCGATCATATAATAGTAATTCACTGTAAGTTAACATGTAAAAAGTAAAGTCTGAAGAGGAGCCTTAAGTAAGAACATATCAAGGAGAAATATTAACATAAAATTTTTTTACCTTACTAAATTTCGATGCTTTCGATGTTTTTACTTTAAGTGCTATATTCATTTTTTAATCTTTTAAAATTTTTTATGTCTTATTATATCGACTTTGAGAGTACGCTCGATCTTTTATAAATTTTTATGTTGAATTTTTAGACCTTTTGGTCAATTGTATAATTTTAGCCTTTAACTTCATGCTTTTTTCCTTTTATCAATTGTCTCTTATAATCTTTCTGTTATTTTTCCTGTATTTTAAGCTTTAAATTTTTAAACCACCAGTTTTCGGTCATGAGGTTTGACCAAAGATATTTTTCATGAAGCTTGTACAAATTCCATTATATTTTGACAGCTCTCACATGGTAAATTCTGGGTCTCACATGGTAGATATCATTAATTTTATTAAATTTCAAATATTTATTAGGGTCCGTTGGCCAAATTTTAAACTTTAATTTAATTTTTTTTCTTGAATTTTTCATATATTTTATTATAAACATCAATCTAGATGTTGAACTTCACCTGTTAGTTAATAGTCGGAATAATCACAACTATTATACATGTAAAACGTTTAATTCTTGAGGTGAATTTGTTACTTTTGTATTTTTGCCCGATTACCACCGGGCTGTTGCCAAAATAGTACTATGTTTTTTTCTTGTTTTTAAATAAATGCCACGGAGGGGCTTCGCCGGGCCTCTCGGCCAGTGCATGTGCCAGATAGTCTCTGTCTACCTCCGGCTGTGCGGGAGACTTTCACGGCGACAAGTTGAAAATTTTTCCCGCATACCTATATTTGGGGGGGGGGACCTAATTAACCTTACGTTACTAAATCTATTTGTTATCAGTTACCTTTTTTTTTATAACCGTCGTCTTTGTAGCAGATTGTTTTACAATATTACCTTTTGTGAGATTTATATACGTTTAAATATCACAAAATTATGAACATTATAATTTCTAATAATTAAATTTAATCAAGCGTTTAAATATTACAAGCGTATAAATATTACAGCTTATTATAAATTTTAATCATTTAAATATTAACTTATGAACATAATGAACTTGTAAATATTAATCATCATAATATTTAATGTATACAAGTTCCCTCCCATTGATAAATTCTTCAAAATTCTTATCTTTAGCTATGGAGAAAAGAAAACTTTTCAACAACATACGAAGCAATGGGAACACCAGGAAATGCTGTTTTCAAAATTAATAAATTCGTCTACTCCTTATAACGCCAGACTGCGGCCATTTGCCACTAAAAGTAAGAAATTCTTTCACATATTTTTTTCAATAAGTGCGTACGTGTTAAAAGAAAGTGTCTTTAAAAGTATAAACAGCAATGAATTATATTAGAACTTCCCAAATTATAAGGACTTTGGAGACGCGCCACGGATCATTACGGGCCGTTCGCCAATTGTGAGAAAACTCGTCTCAACGATGGCAGCCACCACTGCAACCCAAGAGACCAAGCAACATGCGGACTCATCGCAACAAAGCCCCGAGTCACGAACGATTAAAAGCGCCACAGCTGAGCCGAAGGGCTGCAAATGCTCTGCAGGGCCAGTGTGAGCTGATTTTCAGGTGTAAGGAAAAATATTTTTGAATCACCCACCATTGAGCATAATAATAAATAAACGGAGTTAAATAAATGAATTTTCAATTTTAGAAATAAGTCAAAATCTGCTGTTTTTAAATTTTTATAAAAACGCAGTACAAACTACCTATACAATGTATTTTTATTTCAATGTCTACTCTGTGAAATAATGGAATTATTAAGATCTGTAATAGTTATTAAGAGATGAATACGTAAAGTGTACAAAAATATACGGACTACAATAAATAGCTTTTGATCTAATGATCGAACCTCGCGCTCTAGGACTTAATATTAATAGTTCGAAGGGGTACCCTCAAATATGCTAATTAACAAGTGCATACGTTATATTAAGTTACGAAAGACACAAAAACGTATTTTCTCTGAATAAATATGCCTGTTGTTAAACGGATTCGGTTTTCTGAACCCAAAAATATAGGGGGTATCCACAATCTGGGAAATATGGTCCCAATAGTTTGGTCAGAAGAATGCTTTAAAGTTTGGACCCCTTTATGTTAGTTTTTGCGTATTTTGTTATATCTCGAGAACTTTTTAGTAGAAAATTCTATGCAAAAAATTAACCTTTATTAAATATTCATTATTTTATTCATTTATGGTTGAAAAAAATTTAAAATATAAAGCATACAATTTTTTGCATCATTTTAAAGAATATAATTTTGCATGACAAAAATACGAAATGTGAGCAAAATCTGTTTAATAATTCCTGAGAAATTGAATTTCAAAAAAAAATCAGATATTTAAAATTCGATTTTTCAGGAACTATTCGACCGATTTTGCTCAAAGTTTGTAATTTGCCATGTAAAATTATGTTCTTTAAAATGATGCAAAATATTGTATACCGCACAATTCAAAACTTTTTTGACTATTATTAAGTAAAATAATAAATATTTACTAAAATTTATATTTTACATTGAATTATGTTTGGACAAACGAGTTTTGTAATATTGTGCAAAATTTTTCAATTCGCTTAAAAAGTTCTTGAGACATAAAATAAATTAGCATTAAAAAGTCTAACCTTTGGACTCCTCTCTTGACCCAACTATTAGGATCATATTTCTCAGATTAGTGCTACTCACTATATTTTGGGGGTCAGATATCAGAAATCATCGAAAAAAAGATAAGTTTATTCAGAGAAAGTACGTTTTTGCCTCTCTATTTCGTAACTTACACTATCGTCTGCACTTATTGATTAACATATTTGAGATCATTTCCTCGAACCATTTAGATTGAGTCCTAGAACGTAAAGATCCGATAATTAGATCAAAAGTTATTAAGAGCGGTCGGTTTATTTATTTTTTTTCTGCACTGTACAATCCGTGGAAATCGTTGGCGAATGGAAGTTAAATGTTTTGCGTCCTTCTCAGTATAGTTATAAATAAGCCTCCTCCTAACATTTTACTTAAATAAGGTTTTTTTTTTCTATTTTTGAATTTAATTTTAATAAATTTGAATAAATTGTTTTGAAATTTGAATAAATTTTTTTGAATGAATTTTATAAAAGATTCTTGCAAGATATTTTTTGGATAAACTTTATATAAAATATACATAATATATGGAAAATTAGCCGAGACTCTATGAACTCAATGTTTATAAGTTGCACTCAATATTACATTACTTTCTCATGCAAAATCTTAGAAAAGTTTCTGGTTTTTAAAATTTTTTTAATTATTTTATCGTACATTTTAAGTTATAATTTTTTGAATATTAATTACAAAGTATTTGTGTTTGTTATTAAAATATCAGTTTTTTTGTTAAATTTCATAATTACTGTAAATACTTTATATATATTTTATTCACAATCGTGTTTTGCTTGCAGACATGGCTGTAAAAGTGAATACTAGCATATTCCTATATAGTGTGACGTCAATCAATGAGCTGCGAACGGTAAGTAAATACCAGTATATAGTTTTTTGAATTAATCTGGAAAAGGGTAATCTTAAGACTACAAAAAATAAAAATTTTCAAGCCATTAGGTTGTTCAGAAAGTAATTTAATTTTTTCCAAACAAAGAACTTAATTACATATTTTTACAAACCAACTTCGCACTTAAGCCACATAATTATTATAAATTTTAATAACAAGGTTTGCTTGAAGAAAAAAAATTTATTGATTCTGCGCAGTAATACGGAAAGTAAAAAACAGAATTTTCGGCATACTTTGCTTTTTCATTATCGAAAAAGTGAAAGTTTTGTTCAAGCAAGAAAATAAATATCCGGTGAGTATAAAAAAGATGTATTGACAGTATGCCAGTGCCAAAACTGATTTGCAAAACTTCGATTAAGAGAAATGAAGATGCTCGAAGCAATTTCAGATAATAATGGCATCAATTGATAAAAAACAGTGAACAACTCGAGAAATCGCTGAAAGAATAAATTTATCAAATACAACCACTTATGATCATTTAAAAAGCTTAAGGTTTAATCACAAAGCTCGACATAAGTGTTCCTCGGGGTTTTACAGAAAGAAATTTGCATCGTTGCGTACACGTCTGCGATTTGCTTTTCATACTTAAAAAAAAATCCATTTTTGAAGGCCATCATCATTAGGAAAGAAAAATAGGTTGTTTACAGCAATGTTCCTGCTCCTGCAAAATTTTTTAAACGGTAAAATCTTTACTTTAAATAAGGAGGTCAAAACTCACCTGTGGCTCTTTTTTGTTCCAGAAAAGAACACAACATTTTATGCTCATGGAGACATGTTAGTGTCAGAAATATGATAGAAGGTAGTAGACCGAGATGGATAATATTTGATTCAATATAATATTTATTCACTATAAGAAAATAGCCTTTCATTTTCTTAGAAAAATAATAAATAAATAAAAATTGAAATTTCTTTCCAATACTTCTGAATAACCCAATACGCATTTTCAGTTTAAATCATAAAACTAATTTATTAAGCGCTACATCTCTTCAATTTGTTTAAATAATGGCAACTCACAAAGATCAGTTGGCCTACCATTTAAATAAACCATAACAATTTTACATGATCGGTTTTGTACTCACATTTCAAGAGTCACTTATTAAATACGTCGTAATCATTTAAATCGTAAAGTAGTAGTTACTGGCTCTGATTGTATTACAGTCATAGCCGAAAATCACAATTCAAATGTTCCTACTGGACGCCCTGCTGCTTTCAATAGTATTTCTCTGAATGGTGGCTTATTGGTCCTTAACTCATACTTTTAGAATCATCATCAAAAAATCATACAAATAAGGGGACCAAATTAATATTTTAGTTAGGATAACATAAAAGCGCTATTGAAATCAAATCCAAATTTAACCTTTTCGCGCCGACTATTGTTGACGCGATGTGAGTTCAAGATATAGTAACCCGGCAAATCTTGAAATGTGAGTACATGATGTAGTCACCAGCATTCTTGATCAGTGTCAAAATGATTAAACTGGTAGTCAAACAGTTTCTTTAGCAGTTTATTTCTCGGTGTGGAAATAATAGTTTGATTTATTTAACTCACCGCTACTTGGTTCAAAATAAAAATTTCCTAGGCTGTGATCAAACTGTTTTTGACGTTTTTAATCTTGTCTTCCTCTTTAACGACTCGTTAGATCTCGGCATTATTTCCTTAGCTGCAATATTAATTTGAACATCTTGATGCTGGTACTTTTTTTTTCTTATTTCTGATAAGGGTTCTAAAAGCCTATGCATTACGGATAGTCTTCTCAAAACACTATGCTTACATGAAATGACCTTTTTAATGCAAATCTACCGACTAAAGAAAAGCATTCTAGCAGCGACCCATTCTGGCCCAGGGGGACCATGGAAGTTTTGGGCACAAACCGCCTTTTACTTCCAGTAAAAGCTAGTACCCATTGATATGAATTTAATTGGGGTTCAAACCGCTCTTTAAATATTGAATCCCTCTCGTTAACAATGCAATCTCACAGTACCTTAACCACTAAAATTGTATGACCACTAACAGTCTTAACTAATTCTTAAAACACTGGTAGACAAAAATTTATCTTGTATGTCCTATGCCTGTTCAGAGGAAGATTTTGTTAGAGTTCAGAAGAAGGAAATTTGCAAACCATTGGATTTTATGAGGGAATTTTTTTTTCCGCGCAGGACTATACTATGCAAATACTGTACAGAGAAACGTGGTTTGATGATAGGCTAGCATTTACGCCAGACGAAACCGTGCAAGAAATTGTTGGTGATAACTGGCATGCTGGACAAATTTGGATACCTGCCGTTCATCTCGTAAACGACAATGATTTTGGAGCTCAGAACAACGAGAGAACGTTAGTTCATATTGATTCAAATGGTAAAGTTTTGATCAGCAAAAGGTAATATATTACGGCCATCTTTATTTTCTTCGTTATTCTTTTTCTTAAAAAAAAAACAATACGATTATTATTGATAATTAAGTTTCTAAAGTTTACGATGCTAAAACAAAGTTTTTCAAACTCATAGCGTTTTTCAACTAACTTAACTACTTTAACTGAACTTAATAGCATGTTCTAATATTTTTGACATACAACAGAAAACGTTTTTGCAATGTTTTTTCTAGTCAGTAACGACATCTGTTGACCTTTATAGCCAATATTAAATCATGGTGAGAATAGATTTCTGGTTTCATAAGCAGAATGCAGCAAACCTTACATTTATATCTCTTTCTGCTTTTCTTCAATTGGTTTTACAAACCGTTAGTCATTTTTGGGACATTCGTTTTATTAATGATGTAATTTTTGTTTTCCACAATACTTGAAGCAAAACTCAATCCGCTGATGATCAAATTCTCATAGTCTGAAACGGAAGCTTAATGATACGAAATACCATTAAGATACAAGGATGTACTTAATATACCAATCAAATACGCATCATTTAAACTACGTAATGTAACTATAACTATGCAGAGTAACTTAAGCATGTAACTATTTGAATACAGCTGGTTAAATATTGTGGTATTTAAACATGATATGACTAAACGAACTAAATAATGCATTTTTTGAGTGAGAATGTTATAGTTAAATAGTTGGGTATTTAAATAGTGCTAATTAAATAATGCAGTATTCAAACTTACTAGTAGTGCTAATTAAATGCTGTGATATTTAAATATGCTAATGAAATAGCGTAGTATTGAAATATGCTAGTTAAATTGTATAAAATTTAAACATGCTTATTAAACAGGTCTAAATAAATTGGGCAGTATTTAAATATGCTAATTAAATAGTGTAGCATTTAAATAGTACTCTTAAAATAATAGGGTATTTAAATATACCAATTAAATAATGCATTACTTAAATATTAACTAAATAATGCCAATTAAATCGCGTAACACTGAACTGTTCAATTATAATGATTTTTAAAATAAGGCTTTCGAACCAAGAAAATTGATGTTATAAGACTGTCTGTTTTTTTTTCGTACTGTACTTTAAAAATATGATTGAAAACATAAAATTTTAGGCACATACAGCAAACATTCTTAATTTTTTTCAATTTATGAATTTTAAGTATGTGCAGTGGATTTGCGTATTAAGTACAGGTTATCAATTCAATTCAAGCATTATTTAATTTGTTACATTTGATGTCAGTAATTTTCCAGCCAATACTTATCTGTTACACTGTACGCCACTCCGCGCTTGAATCCGCACTCACTTAAATGATCATTAACTCTGAAAACTTGAATTATTATCTACTATATTCGATGAAAGTTTACCGTGATTTGGGGTGTATACGTGATACGTGGTAAATTATGCCCACTATTCTGTGTTACCGTTGTCCTTATCGAATAATTGTAAAGTTGAAATCTCGCTATGACGAATTGCAAAAGAATTTTGCAGTTGAGCAATTTTCAGAAATGAACTAATCATTTGCACTTTATCAACACTTCTTAAAAAGAGGCAAAGTTTTCATGAAAATTACAAAACACTACACGAAATTATCCAGCAAAATACGGGTCTATTTGCTACCAAGTTAATCGTGACGAGTGTTCTTTTTTCTTCTTTTTTTTTAACCCTTCATAACACCATTTTTTTCCCTTTAATGTAATGTTGAAATATATTCTGGGATTGAGATTGATTTATAAAAATAAATCCATTAGCATATTATCTAATTTGATTTTTATTTATTTATTTATTCATTTATTTATTTATTCATATATTTTTTTTGTGTGAAGGTGGATAAGATTTTTAAAATTTTACCTACTGTATTAGATTGGCAATAAACTTTTGCACATATAAATATTTGAATTTATAAATTCTACTTTTACAAGTGTTACTAACTACAAATAAACTTGATGAGAAATGATTAAATAAATGAGCGCATATAATGCACACTAGAAATTATCTCTCCATTATTGGCAGGTCCCATGCTAACCCTTACTGTTACTCACATTCATGTAAACAAAGCTCTTTATTGATATTTTTTCTGTATTTTCTGAAGTTATTAAGAAATGGACGCACGCATCATAAGAAGTAAAACAGCTCTTTATCTACGTTTAAAAATTAATGGTGGAAAGTATACTTCCCACGTCCTTACAAGATATTAGATTAATGTAATTGCATTAAAAATCAACCACGTCGTTATACATCATTAAAGGTAAGACAATTAGGGCGACAATTAAACTTGACGACATTTAAATTCAACGAAAAAAAATGGGAGAGATAGTTCCAAATTCCAATATTTGACCACAGGATATTATTACCACACCTTTGTTATCAGGATTATACTCTAACTACAAATACAAAAGAGCCGATTATACAGTATATGGATTAGATCTTCAAAGTAATTTATAAAATAAATATAAAGAAACAATGATAAAACGAACGTAGTTACTAGCCACTATAGCATTAGTTTAATTATTTGCTTCCCTAAAAAAATATTTTGAATAGTGTTTGTGAAGGCTTTAATTATTTTAAAACAAAAATAAGAGGTTATATAGTATTAAAAAAGAGTTGTTTCTCTTGCTCTAGGAGAAAGCTACGGCTCCTCTGTAAAATGGAATTTTATCGGTATCCTATGGATAAACAACAATGTACATTAGAAATAGAGAGCAGTAAGTATACATATTTTTTAAATATTACATTCTATTCATGTTTTAAACTATTATTTAATCAATTTGTAGTTATGTGTTTGTAGTAGTTCATACTAAACTAAATCTTCGGGAATCGCTTTAAAATCGAGTAACAAATAATTTTTATCAGTATAAACTAAAATTAAGGAATTCATGTTTGATTCTTTTTATTTTATTTTGTGTCTTTTCAGTGCAATAAGTTAAAATTTATAATAAAATAAAATAATAAGGCCACTTTTGAATTTGGAATTTGCCTACATAATATTGAAAATATAAAAGGAAAAAAATACAAAAACATAGAGTTGTACACAGAGTGTTTATAATTAAAGTCATCCTTCTTCGTCGCAGAAGAAATTTCAGGAGCAAGATTTTTGAATAAAAAAAATTTTAATTTTTAAAAAAAAAGTAGTAGAGGAATAAAAATTTGTTAGAGAAAAAATACTGATGAAGATTACTAAATTCAAAAAGGCTAGTGTTAGATGCTAGTGTTCAAAAGGGTAAAGTGTTAGAAATTTGCAGCAAGAAAGAGGACGGTTGCAACTTCAAACTTAATATATTCTTTAAAGGAATTAATTTCTGGACATAAATTCATCACAAGGATTTTAACAAATAGTTCGTTATATTTGACAATATAGAGCTTTAAAGCTCCAATTGGATCAAATCTACATGCTTGTTAGATTTATGCTTATTCTGCTTCCATGCGAATTTAGTACCCTAAAGCTAAAACAAATATGAAAAATATTTAGTATCTAACCTATTACTAGCTATAATATTCAAGGAACTGAAAATTATTAAAATTGTAACATTTTCTAATTTAAGAAACTAAATAGTAATATAAATAAAGAAACTAAAGAAACAAGAGATGCATAAATGAAAAACACTTACCCATAATTTTTAGGTATAAAAATTGTTACAATTCTGATACAAAATATTAGAATAATCCATTTTTCTTATCCAATGAAAGGAAGAAGAGAAATTAAGTATTAAATAATGCATAAATGCAAACGATTTTTTTCATGAATTTATTTTTAATCAAATCTCAACACAAGCTTAAAATTTGTTCATTTTTTTAAAAAAAAGATAATAATTTGAAAAAATTTATTGAATCTTAAAATATTAGAATATTTAATGTAGTTGGTCCTAATTAATTAAATATAATGCGATAATATTTGACTTCAAAAGTTTTACGAGTAGCTCATGAGAATTTTAGATTTATTGCAGACGATTATATTAAAAAGATATTTGTGTTAAAATGAGATGTTAACGTATTATGTTCCTGAATCAATAAAATTACGAGATAATGACGTGATTATCGACATGGTAAAAATCAGCTATAAATATAGCCAATTATTTGAATTGTTTTCAATCAAGTGTTTTCAAAATCTTACATCAGAACCAGAAGAATGGAATATTTAGAAATAATTGTTGCAATGGTGGCCTAAAATCAAAAACTTCTGCCAGAGATGACAGCGAATCGAAGGATATAGTTTTTAAAAAATTCGTTTCAAAATATTCTCTAGCACTGGGCTAATGTAAACAAAAAAGACTGCCAAATACTTATTTATTCCAGGCAAGTGTTTATGCGTTATGCAGTGATCAAACCGGAAAGCGATGCTAGAAAATATTAATTAACTTTCTTTGTCCATTTTAAATTTTAGTGTTTATAATGGTGTATTCTAATATTTTGGACCACATAAAATTTTGCTCTAATATTTTGATTTTTTTCCAAAAACAAACTTTATTTTGATTTTTTTTAATGTTCATCATCAATGTTCAATCGTTCTCAAGTATACGTAATTCCATACTGTTAATTACGTATACTTGACTCTTTAAATTTATAATTCAACTTAAGTAAGTAAAAAGCAAAAAAAAGTAAGAACTCTTTTAATGTCTAATTTTTCAGTAACTTTAATATTTTGAATCAGAGCTATATAATCACTATAATTATAAAAAAATTAATTTATTACTTTTCTTATGTGTAAACGAAATAACGCACAAGTAACAGTTTGCGATTGTCTGAGAGTAAAACTTTCTTTGCAGAGTTGAGGCATTGAGACATTTGAGGCATTTTTATCCTGTGATACCTCAAAATTGATACTTATATGTATGCATACTTTCTTCTTGAATTTATAATTAATCTTAAATATTCAAAGTATCTATAATATTCACAATGCTCAATTAGAATAAAATATCCATATACTTTATCAAACAGTTCATGTTGGCACTGGTTGACTCAGTAATTAATCTTGACATCTTTATCAAGTAATTAATTATTAGTGAAGAATTTTTTTAAATTTTTCTAATAAAGTAAATGTTCTCTTGAGAAGAAGTTACCTCTTGAAAGATATTTTACAAACTAAAGAAAATCAAGCCATGTTTTCATAAAATTACAGAGTTTTGAAATCCCTCAATAATTCATGCAAATATGGTATAGTTCCGTTTTTCTTTGCTGATTAATTTAAAAGTTTAAAGATGTTTTTTGTTACAACGAACATAATTTCGGCACACAGTGAGAAAACTTGCCCACTCTGACTTGCTGGAAAATTTTAAAGTTGCTTTGCTAAGCTTGTAAAAGGCATATTTCGGTTGAAAAATATTGTTTTGCAAACAGTTTATCGATGTTTCTATTCATTATAAAAGATGATTGTTCCCCACCCCCTCAAATTCATAAAAACTTACTTAAAGATGATTTTCGAAGCATTTTTGCCTCGAAAATAAAAAATAAAAAATTCAGTGTCTACTCTCGAGGCAAAGCTATAACTTTAAATAATATATGCTATCTTGAGCACTGAAGGATGATTTAGGCTACAGAACTAACAAATAGCTGAAATATTTTAAAAGTTAATAAATTTATTTAAAAATAAACAATCTGACGAGATTTTTCTTCCTAGATGAAATTCATTAAAAATGATTTATAATTCTGAATTTTTTGCACATTTTTAAAGGACGAGACGATGCATCGTTTGAATAACTGTTCAAATAGTCAGACAATGTATCACAAACGCTTTTCATTTTCACAAAACTGTGACTTTTTTCTTCGTAATAAAGTTTTGCGCCATTTTCATAATTAGCTTAAAAAAGCGCAGGGTAAACGTAGTAAAAATTTAATCCAATAGTCATGAATAACATATAAAAGCTTACAACAGTTTTAAAAATAGCATATGATTTGCTAAAAATGTTATTTTATCTATGATAAAAGAGCTTTCGAAAATCAGCCTTTATTCATTCTTCCACTAACTTATCAATTTATTTATCATTTCTTTAGGTATATTACCAAGCTCTGATTTAGAATTAGCCTGGGATGCAGAAAAACCTTTGGATTTGAATCGAAATTTCATTGTGGCTGGATTTATTCTAACGAACTATTCCTTGGAACAAAGAATGAAATCTTATCCAGAAACGGGTGAGTTTGATTTAAAAAATATGAATGTAAATCAAGGCTTTTAAATCAAAAATAAAATACATTATGAGCTTTAACTGCAAACATATAAAAAAAATTATGAACACGCCAACATCAATTACTTACACAGGTTATCATCAATTACTTATCTTCTATTCTACAATATAAAACATCAATTAGACTTATACTTATATATGGCTTAGAAACCTGGAACCTGAGCAAAGCTGGAGGAAAAAAATAGCCATTTTTGAGAGAAAAGTTTTGCGAATCAATCTTAATGGGATAAAAATCAATAATGTTTGGAGAAGAAGATACAACTTTGAGCTATATACAAAATATATAAGAGAGCCATATATTAAGTTCATAAAAATTAACCGGATAAACTGGGCAGCTCTTATATTTAGAACAAATGATAATTCCACATTAAAAAAATAAAAAAAACTTTTTCATAAACCCCTAGCAAGCAGGAAAAGGGGTAGACATAGGGTCAGATGGATGGAGTGAGTGAAAACTGACTTCCTTGCTATTCAGGATAGAAACTGGCACACAAATGTCAAAAATAGATTGCAGTGGAGCAGAATTCAGGAGAAGGCACTGGCTCACACTTGGCTGTCCAGCTGTCTTGGAACAGAAAACGATGCTACTGATTACGACCAACCTGGGAAAGTCGAGATTTTGTCGTATCAACTCAATTTCAAAAGCGAAACTAAGAACAAAATGAAAATTCGGTTTCAAATAATTTTTAAAATGCTAATTCAGTTAAACCACTATTAACCAAGAAAACTATTCACGTTGATTTTATTTGTGCTCCTCTGATATAAGGAATCAAAGAAAAATAATTATTATAAACGTGCTGTAGATTTTTGGCGAAACTTTGTCGTCATGAATTGGAGCTGTAAGCTAAAGTACGAATCATCCATAATTCGACTTGTAACAATGAGTAATGTTAATTCTAAGAGAAAAATTTTTTCCGCTGATCCCGCTCGAACGGTTTGTAGTAGAATGTCGAAAGTGACCTTCCGCTTGCTTGAACTTTAACAGGATGCCAAATTTTATCGATTTCAGTCTTCTGGTTTAAGAGTCTATACAAAAACAAATAAACATTAATTTTTTAGAGCATAGATTTAAACTTTTGTTTTTAAAATTATTTTTTGAAACAGTTGAAGCTGGGTCAAATATCAGTCTTATCAGGCAGAGTTTTGATCCACACAAAGATAGGTCAGACCATCTTATTAAAAATAAAACAAAAGCTGTTTAGAAAATTATTAATGACTCATTAAAATTTTATTTAACCATTAACCATTCCAAAACGTTAAGTTTCTAAAGAACACAAACAGAAATCAATCATTATTTTAACAATCATAAAAATCAGAGTCGAATTTTATTTCGGAGGAATTTCAGAAGGAAGGAGGAATTAAAGAAATCATTTTATTCTATTGATTTATTCACAATATAAAATTTGGTTTATTTATTCGCTTAGGTACATTATTTTTGAAATTTAATGCTAAATTTTTGCAGGAAACTTCAGTCGCATCATTGTGCGCTTCGAACTTCAAAGGGAATTCGAGCATTTTCTGTTAGACATATACATACCCAGTATTTTATTTGTGGTCACTTCTTGGCTCTCTTTCTGGGTGGAAATCCCAGCTGCACCAGCAAGAGTCACACTTGGTATGACCACAATGTTGACTCTTGTCACCAGTGAAAAAGTAATTCGCTCGAAGTTGCCCAAAGTGTCCTACTTCCACGCATTGGATATATGGAATGTTGTTTGTACAGGTTAGTATTGTACTTTACCATTCAAAAAATTAGCCACGAAAATATAAATGGATTTCTATAAATCCCATTGAAATTTCTAGTTTCAATGATTTGTTGAATGGTACAATGCATGCTAGGTTGTCATTAATCTTAATCAAATTTCTATAATTCTTTCCAAAGATGAATTTAATGGATGAACACATAATTGGTTGCACATTGATATTAAAACGATGGTGGTAAAAAAAATTTAAACGTTTTCAAAATTTCCAGAATCACTATAGGAAAAGTCGAAATGAAATACATCAAAACTGGTTTGACTGCTGGATAAAGCTTAGATATGTTCCTTTATTAATCGCTTTTTACTTCCTTTCAGCTTCTTTCAAAAATTAAAGATCATTTGATGGGGGTTTTTTTATCTCGCCATTCTCAATATCTATTTGATAATATTTTTGTTTTACCTGACTTAAATATTAATTTATAACCTCTATTATGTATGTTTTGTTTTTTTTACTTAATGCCTGACAAGGATTCTAAAAAGATATATTAAGAGCGGTGATTACAGAACACCCTGCTTTTACTAGGTTGCATCGAATGAAAGGAATTCTTTGATGTACAGTTTTTAAAATACCGTTAAACACAGAATTTTTTCCACCTATGTTATCTAATTTTACATTTCATTTATCTTTAAAAAAAATTAAAAGTTGTTAAAAAAATTTCAGCGATAAGGGGATTTGTCCATAAAATATGGCAAATAAAGCAGAACTTCCCAAAGATATTTTCTGACAAAAATGGCTTTTTCTTGGGAAGTTATTTTGACTAAATAACTAAGAGTTCGTATAATATTAAAAAACTTAATAATAAAATGCAATACTGTAATTTACTTTTTTATGAGACACTAGCCATCTTCAACAGCCAGCTGATCCGCTTTTCAAAATTCTGGTCAAAATTCTTCTACCATTGACCGCCTTGATCTGTGTGCTTCTAACATCTATGCCAAAAATAGCTTTTAAAATATACCAACTGAAAGAAATACTGCTGTTCTTCGTAACATTACTTTGAAAATTTCGTTCCACAGCTCAAGAAACAATCTAAATACACTGGTGGACAAAATTAAGTGATGGAAAGCATTTTCGCACATTTCTCTAAAAATACCGCACAAAACCTGGACAGTTGATTGCCATATATGGTCACTGTAGCGCTATTGGCCCTGAGATAAGTTTACGTATTCTTGTGGGCGTTGCTAAGCCAGCAGGAGGTATAAAAGTGGACACGGATATCTCTATTTTAGAGAAATATCTCATAGAATTTGGACTTTCCCCGGAAAAGATAGTACAGCTCAAGAGGAGAAGTGGGCGGGTGCTCAGGTCCCTCACACTGTTTCTCATCATCCAATGGGATACAAGCAGGAGCCGAAACATCTTCAACATCAGTACCATCCTAGAGAGACCAGTACGGCTAGAGCGATTCAGAGGCGGACGTTTTCAGGTCCAATGTTACAAATGTCAGAAATATGGACACACTCAACGTAACTGCACAGCCACAGTTCCCGCCTGCGTGAAATGCGCCAAAGACCACTACTCGTGTACGAAGCCAATTACTGAACCAGCAACTTGCATCAACTGTAACGGTGAGCACCCAGCCTGTTTTTCGGGATGCGGTGCAAGACCCAGGAAGTTCCCCAAAGAAAGAAAAACCAAGAATGCCACGGACTCCACCACTAGATTTCTCAGACTCTTCAAAGAAATGAAGGAACTTCTCAAGGACGAAGAGCTTCTTAAGCTCCTTCGCTCCCTTCTCCCTGAGTCACAGAACTGATGTGGATTTCCACAGCCGCCAAGATTTCTACTCACACGATTTCCACAGTTTCCTCACTGTGGTAGACTTTTACATTTACATCTTCATCTTCAACATCTTATGACTCCACAACTTATCACTACTTAGTTTCGACTAATCAGTTAGCGGTGCTTCGCGCCGAATGCTGAGATTTCACCTATTCACATCACATCACATCATCTCATTCCACTCTTCAACACAGTTGCAGATTTTAGTGCATTTTTTGAATAATCTTGTTTCTTGCTGGCTTTTAGGTGAAATGAGAGAACATCATCGTTTAGACGAAGGTATGAGGTGGAGAATTATAGGTAGACTTGAGGTAGACCAGTCCCAAGCTCAGATTGCTAGGGAATTGGATATAACACCAAGCGTCATTTCCAATTTGTGGAGTCAATTTAAAACTAGTGGGGCAGTATGCAGACGACCAGGACAAGGTCGCCCGAGGGCTACAACGGCCAATGAAGGCCTCGCGACTGCTACAGGAACACCAATTTCGAGTAAGACAGTTTCCAGGAGACTCCATGAAAGAGGGCTGTATGCCAGGAAGTCCGCTATTTGCATCCCACTCACTCCCACAAAAGAGCGCGTGCAGAATGGTGCAGACAACATCAGAATTGGACACAGCTTCAATGGGCTAATGTTCTCTTCACCGATGAGTCCAGATTCAGTCTACAACCTGATTCTGGACGGTTATAGATATGGAGGGAACCTGGAACCTGGTACCATCCCACCAACATTATCGAAAGGGACCATTATGCTGGTGGAGGACTCATGGTTTGGGCAGGGATCATGCAAGATACCCGCACACCCCGCTCCATATGTTTGACAATGGTTCCGTGAATGCCCAGAGGTACAGGCAGGAGGTCCTAGAGCCCTATGTGTGTCTTTCCAGGGGGGCTGTTGCCCCTGAGTTCATTTTTATGGACGACAATGTGCGACCACATAGGGCTCTCATGGTTGATGAGTATCGGGAAAGCGAGGATATCCAAGGAATGGCCAGCCAAATCCCCTGACCTGAATCCTATTGAACATGCTTGGGATGCTCTTGGGAGAGCTATTGCAACCTCCCCCCAGAACCATTCTGGAGTTAAAAATTGCTCTGGTGGAAGAATGGGAGGGTCTTCCACAAGTCCTCCTTAACTCCCTTATTAACAGCATGCATACTCGCTGTGCATGCTGTCTGCCTGTCAGGGGTGACTATACACCATACTAGAGGCAACACGCACTATACAAGCCTCACTTTTATTGTCATCTTTAAGTTCAGACTACATTGGATTTATTGGCAATAGGTCTTGCCAAGACTGACTCTTTCATTTTTGTTTTGCATACTTTATTATCATGGAATAAGCTATACCCATACCAAGTTTCATTTATTTATATTCAGTATTTTTTTAGATATTTGGGAAAATGCCTTCCATCTCTTAATTTTGTCCACCAGCGTATATCTATTGGTAGAAGCTTGCTGTCTCTGGTAGTATTGTGAGTGCTGCGCAGTTACAACTCCAAAAAAAAATTTGAAATACATCTACTAGTGTAGATTTTTTTGTTCTTTATTTCAAATTCATACCAACTTAATATTAAAATTTAATACTACATTTTATACCTTTATTAAACAAATTGATTTACCTCAATTTATATTCATTCATTTTCCCTTATAAATGTGTTCATCCCTTAAACATATTTTTCTTATTATTATTACTTATAGGGGAATGTTTAGAAATTGTAACATACTGTTTAGTAGCCAAACAAATTTGGTAACTCTAAATAATGTGGGGAATTTTTCTTTATTCCATACAGGCTTCGTATTTGCTTCATTAGTAGAATATGCTTTAGTGAACTATATTTATCATAAGGATAATAGACGAAAAAGAAAGAAGACCCTGAAGCGAACGGGGAGTGCTGTTAGTGTTTCTACAATAGCCAGTGAAGCAGGATCTTCCCCAATGTTGATTGCCAAAAATGTAAGAAACGTCACTGATCAAATGATTAATAATGGATTTATTCCATTTATTAAAATTGGGAATACAAATTAGTTCGGTCCGTTTTTAAAAGATGGCTCTGCTGTTATATAGTGACAGCTGGTTTCGGTGGTTTCAGAGAGGTTAAACATCTGCTGCCAATAATATTCAGTTCATATCGCTTTGAGTTTCATACAAAAAAACCTGTTTTTCACTTTGTTGAATGTGTCAAATTTCGTGGTAACGAAGCACCATTTGCGGGAGGTTTTATGTTTCTGCTTTAATTGGAAAAAAAGTGCAGCTGAAGCGAATCGAATGCTTATAGAAGCTTATGGTGAGAATGCTTCAACTGATAAATAATTAGGGAATGGTTTCGAAGTCTCAAGAATGGTGAATAGTGTTGTATACTATGAGCTGCTACAACCTGGTGATTCCATTACAGGCGATCGGTATAGGCTACAATTGATTCGTTTGAGCTGTGCATTACGAGAAAAACGGTCAGAATACGAGCAAAGACACGACAAAGTTATTTTTCTGTATAATAACGGTCAGCCTGATGCCTCAAAAGTCGTAAAAATTATTTGGAAACGCTTAAGTGGGATATTTTACCGCACCCACTGTATTCGCTGGACATTACTCCTTCTGATTACTGGTTGTTCCGACGGATGCAGCACGATTTGATAGGTCACTAGTTCACTTCTTTCGCAGAAATCGAAAATTGGCTCCTAACATGGATCGCCTCAAAAGACGAGACATTTTCTCGCGATGGAATTCGAATCTGGTCTGAGAGGTGGAGAAAATTAGTAGCCAGCAATGGACAATACTTTGATTTATCTGTTCATTCATTTTGTTCTGAAATAAATGCTTTGTTTACCACAAAAAAAATGGACCGAACTAATTTGTACTCCCAATATAATTCTCAAAATTTAATTATAATATTATGTTTGATAATATATGTTTTATTCTCCAGAAAACTGATTACTTATTCGTTAGTTTGGCATTACATGAAATTTGGTTAAAATTATCGATCTTCGTCCCGAGTGCATCAGCAATGCGTCATCAATGTCGATAATTAATTCGACCCTTATTGGCTATTAATTTTTAATACATTTAATTCATACCATAATATGAAACATATAGAAAAAGCATAAAAGTAAAAATATCCTTTATATCCTTTCCGAAATCCTTAAATATCTTTTTCCTAATAACTTAAAAACATTGAGAGCATTTTGTCTTAGAATTTTCCGCCTACTTATGATAGTGTAAAATTGTGTTCCTTCAAAATTTATTTTAACATCCTTTTCTAAGCTCTTCCATACGCAAATATCAACAAAATCACTACTGTACAAAAGCCGTTGATTATAGAATACCTAGTATAAGCATATTCAGTTTCGGGACAAATAATTAGTTTGCTAAGATGATATTTTATCTTTGATTTTCACCTGCTCGATAATTTTAATACCTTTGTTCTTTAGGTCCGGTATCATAATTATCGGCAATATTATTCTAATAAATAGACTCATTAGTAATTATGCATATTGCTATCAATTACGGACCAACCAGTATCAGTGTGCTTAGTTATGAATCAAATCATTAGTTCTCGGAGATATTATATTCGAATTGTAACTGCATAAGATTAAGAACCCTTGTTCTTTAGGTTCGGTATCATAATTTTCGGCAATATTATTCTAATAAATAGACTCATTAGTAATTATGCATATTGCTATCAATTACGGACCCAACCAGTATAAGTGTGCTTAGTTACGAATCAAATCACTAGTTCGCGGAGATATTATATTCGAATTGCAACTGCATAAGATTAAGAACCTTTGTTCTTTAGGTCCGGTATCATAACTATCGGCAACATTATGTTTTTAAATAGACTCATAAGTGATTATGCATATTACTATCAATTACGGACCAACCAGTATAAGTGCGCTTAGTTACGAATCAAATCACGAGTTCGCGGAGATATTATATTCGAATTGCAACTGCATAAGATTAAGAAAACTTGTTCTTTATTAGGTCCGGTATCATAACTATCGGCAATGTTATGCTATGAAATAGACTCACAAGTAATTATGCATATTGCTATCAATTAAGGATCAACCTGTATAAGTGTGCTTAGTTTCGTAACAAATCACTAGTTTGCAGAGATGATATTATATTTGGATTTGCAGCTATAAAACGTTAAAAAGTTATTATTAATTTTGAATTTTTTTAATTAAGTTTTCGTTCTACTTTTAGTCTGAAAAACTGGAGCCTGGTATGCCGAATAAAAAGGCTGTCTCCATTTCTTGTTTAGCTGAGATGCAGACTGTGAATGCAATAGATGTAGGGTGGATCCGCGATCCAGTGAAACTGACTCCTAGGGATATTGCCAACGGAATAGATCGAAAATGTCGTTACATATTCCCTATTTTGTTTTTAGTTTTTAATGTTTTTTACTGGTTTGTTCTCATAAGTCTTACCTAGCTTTCGCATGCCATTCTACCTTAAAGAAGTGTAAAATAGTTTATAATTTTAAGGATTTCGAACAATAAAATGTCATACTCAACAACAAACAATACGAACAATAAAATGTCAAAAAAATCAATAAAAGTCATACCTGTTTTTATAATATTTAAAACTGGTGCTGTTCTTTTTGAATGTTTAGTTGGAAACTTTAATTACCCTGCCGTTTTACACTTAAACATCTTTGTTTTAAGTCTTACCTAGCTTTCGCATACCATTCTACCTTAAAGAAGTGTAAAATAGTTTATAATGGTAAGGATTTCGAACAATAAAATGTCATACTCAACAGCAAACAATACGAACAATATATGAACAATAAAATGTCATAAAAATCAATAAAAGTCATGCCTGTTTTTATAATATTTAAAACTGGTGCTGTTCTTTTTGAATGTCTAGTTAGAAATTTTAATTACCCTGCCGTTTTACAGTTGAACATCTTTCTTATAAGTCTTACCTAGCTTTCGCATACCATTCTACCTTAAAGAAGTGTAAAATAGTTTATAATGGTAAAGATTTCGAACAATAATATGTCATACTCAACAGCAAACAATACGAACAATAAAATGTCATAAAAACCAATAAAAGTCATACCCGTTTTTATAATATTTAAAACTGGTGCTGTTCTTTTGGAATGTTTAGTTGGAAATTTTAATTACCCTGCCGTTTTACACTTAAACATCCTTCTTATCAAGCTTACATTTGCATGAAAATAATAATTATAACTAAGGTAGAAATATTTTGAAGATTAGGCGACAAGGAAACTGTTTACGTTTCATAATTATAGGAATGACTTGTGAATGACTAAAAACGTTTAAAATAGAAAAAAATGCACTTCTCATTTTTCTCCTTTTCTTTGTTTTAATAACAATTTTTCAAATATTGCAGTAATATTTTAAATGAGTCATCTAGAATATTCAAAGATAAGCTTCTAAAAAGTTTCTTGGAATTGAAAAAGAAGGTGAAGTTGCAGGGGGAAAGTGAAAAATAAATTTATCTTTTAATAAAATAAGACAATTTTTTCTGACAAATAAATATCATATAGAAAAATGTTATTAGAAAACAATGAAAAATCAAAATGATGAAACTCTTGAAATTTTCCGTGTTTAATAGAAATATTTACACATTTGTAACTAATCAAATTAGAGATTAAGCTATTGAATTCTGAGAGTTTCAGTTTCTAAAGAATTATAAATCGGTTTATACTATATAGTTCTCTTTTTGTACAAGGAATTTTTAAATGTTTTTATGATTTTAAAAAGTTGCTTTGGAGTAAATTTTTGGCCTTATGAAATTTTTCTTATTTTTTGTTTGTTTGTTTATGTGTATTTGATTGATAAAATACCTGAAATCAAATTTCTGAATTCTTGAATAAGAATTAAGAAATTTTTTAAAAATATTTGGTTTAAGAATTCAAATATTTGGTAAATGCAAATATTTGGAATATATACGAAATATTTGGTGCCAAAAGAAGATATTTTCCTCCAAGTCAATTAGAAAACCTGAACTTAGCTATTATTTTAAAGCAATAGTTATTTTCATTATTACATTTATCAAGGCTATCAATATCTTGTTAAGATTTCAAAATGATAGTATCACGTTTAATTTTTCATTGTTAACTCATAATTTGTTTCTTTTTGTAGAATTATGCCCTCTTGACCGTTTTCAATAAGGTTAGCAATGAATCAAGATCAATTTTACATTAGGTGAAACAGTGTTATTTTCAATTCCATAGTAAGTGACCGAGTGTTAAACTAAGTGAAACAATTTTATTTTTAATATTATTAATTAAAATAATGATATTTTCAATGTTATTAGGTAAAACAATTTTTTCACTGTTTTGTACATTGTTTGCAATGCTACAAAAATAAATGTACTTATTAAAATTTTTCCTCCTTAATCGTTTTATATTGGAAAAACCTTGACTCCTTCCTTAATTTTTCAGATTTTGTTTTTTATCTCATTAAAAAAATTATCGATATCGTTTGTATTTTTTCTCTACAGGACAAATTGCATTCTTCCTTTTATAATCTGTTCAAAATAGTATGCTAGAATTATTATTTTATTTTATTGTTTTTAAGAAAAAACCTTGAGCTGTGAAGTGGACCAACGTAATCCGACTCCGGGGTTCCTTTGATTTACCTTACGGTGCTTGTTGACCCCTGTGGCAAAAACAATATATTGAGAAACAATTTTTCAAAATAAATGGTGCTTAATACAATAATTAAATCGTCTTTTACAATTTAAAATGAAACTTCATTTTTAAAGAATAATATCTAGGCTTATAATGTTGGGTAAATATTAAGATGTCCTAGAATGGCTTTCAATAATGAACCATGATTCATTTCTATTTAAGTCTCTACAATATTGGATTGTCAATATTTCGCAATATTGGTCTTAGATAGAAATGAGTTTTGATTCAATATTGAAAGCCATTTTAAGACCAATATTAGTCCCTCCGTGTGTGTTCTTGTAGGTACTGTGCCAATGAGCCAATTTTAATCCATACTTCAGCCTAAGTAAAATTGTTGCTTGGCTAGATTTATAAAAAAAAAATGTCTTCAAATGTAAAAAGAAGATCATCATTCTAACTGTGAGCAATTATTTATTAAATTTTATTAGTAACACATTTTTGGCACTTATACTGACTGATTTTGTAATGATAGAGTAGTTCAAAATAACTCATAGCAAACTGAAGTAATCAAAGGACATATCAAACACTGGTGTGCAAGTAAAAGCCTGATATTTTCCGAACGGGGCTCAGGAAAAATAAGATTTATATCATTTTCACGCACTATTACTTGTTTACATTTGTTAGACATAAAAAATATATTTAGCACCATTGCATCACACAAAATTATTTCCTTTTAGGACATTTCGACATTTAAAACTTACATTATCTCAAAATTTTAAGCCTGAAAATATTTTGATCTTAATCATAATTCCTTAAGACTAACAATATTTAATAAAATTTAAAAGTATTTTTTTTATTAAATACACAGGGAGTTTCGTGTGCAATTCTTGGGAGTGTAGGTACAAGATATTTTATTTATGCAGTGTCATTTTTTGCCCAGTTATCTTGCGAACTACATTCTAAATTTTGTTTCAGTCTCACAAAATTTGAAAAGCAAAATTTTTGACAAAATGTATTATTTAATATAAAATGAGTTAAGTATAGCTTTTGTAAACAAAATTAATAAAATGCATATTTGTAGACAAGAAAAATTTAAAGTAATATAGGTATTTTTTATATAATATTTGTTAGCTTTTATTTCTTGAAATTTCTCGCGATTCTTTATTTCAAGCTTGTGTGAAACGAATTTTTGAAAAAGAAAGCTTGAAAAACTTTTTAGTTTCTTAAAAAAATAATATGAATAAATTTAAATAATAGTTATTAAGATTATAAAAATACTTTTTAAATTAATTGGAATAATGCTGACGTAAATCTACATACCCCATGTTCTGGATTTCTTTCTAGGGATAAAAACTTAAACAGCTGTAATTTATTAATAAATTAAAGATCTTATTTTGTCATATAATTGTAATTTATTACTCAATCTTTATAGAAACGAATTTTAAAAGGTAAAGTAGTAGAGATCAAAAAAATTATTTACCAATCCTAAAATACAACTTGTTGAAATGAAAATGGCGCACTTTAACAGAGCTATGTGATTTTTTCATAAGATTTGTAGGACAAAATGAACATGTTATTGGAAAAACAAAACAAAAATATTTAACAGCATTAAAATAATTGAGCCAGGACCAACGCGCTCCTAGGACCAACCTACTTCTTCTCCTACATATACTAGGTTTCTTGTAAAAATTAAAGACAAAAAAGAATGCCTTAAGAATCGCAAATTAATATTTAAGAGAAGAAAAAGATAATGTCCTTGAATAATATGATTGAGAAAGGTCTGTGAACAATAACATTAAAACCTGTTTGATTGTTTGTTGAAGCTGGAAGGTGGGATAAATAATTATTTGATCAATTGTTCTCAGTAGAGCCGCGGTGGCTCAAGGGGTAGAGCGTTTACTTCCCCGTGAGATGGCTCAAGTTCGAATCCAAGAGGCGGCTGGTTGATACAATTCTGTTCACGGCTCGCACCAACCACTGTAATAACGTAAACTATCCTTAAGACTATCATGAGATAGAATCACCTTGATGTCGGGCTAACCATGAGAGGTTTTCGTGGTTTCTCTCTCCATGTTTCGCAAATACGGGTTAGTTCAATCAAAAAGTAATCCAAGTCGGCTAGTTTGCCCAAAATGCTTTATACAGGATCTCGTCTTCTGGATTGGGTTCAAAATTGCAAGGTTATGTACTTGTACATTGATAGTTGTAAGTTCAGAATAGGCTCAACTGTTTAACTCCGGTTGAAAAATGAAATAAAATTGCTCTCGTGCAATCAAACAAGTTTTGTACTCCTTCCTTTCTCAATAAGTGCTTGTCAAATTTCGGTTACGTTTTTGTTTTATCTTCGCTTAATTATTCGTTTATGACTTTCAATGTAAATATCTTTTCTTCATTTAAAATAAAGATTCTTTAGGATGACTAATGCAAAATACAACAACGGTATCCTACTAATGCCAATTCAGAAAACTTCAACATTTTTATTATCAAGGAAGATTTTTTGTTTCCTCATAAAATGTATATGTTTTCTAAAATAAAACAAATTTTTGTTTTATTCTCATGAAGTACTATTTCGAAATATCCCTTTCTTCAGCAAATTAAAATTTACATACCCAACTGTAAATTTTTGAGTTTGAAGATACAACAAGAAGTAAATAACATAATGCGTTAGAGGATATCAGCCAGGAAGGACGTGTCTTAAAGTTTAATTATGATAAATTAAATAAAATAAATTACGTTTAAATTTGATGTTGATGGTTCATTTTCTTTAGTAGGTGTTATGTATTTGAGGATTTTTTTATTAAATACTCTACAAATTTTCATGCCTATGACTGCTTACTCGCTTGATACTTATCAATATTCAGTTTTTCGTTTCCTACTCAAAAAGAAAATTCCATCGGATTTTTGAAAATGTTCATACGCATTAGTATTTTATAAATTGAAATAGGTCAAAGATTTTTTTTAATCCACGTATGCACTATTAATACTTCTGAGAAATATTAAAATTCAAACAATTTGTTGCATATTTATATCACCTTAAAATTATTAAAGGCGTTTATCAGTAGTTAGCTTAAATATTTCTGTAAAAATAATTTTTAAAAAATGAAAAAGGTGATAACTCAGGAGCCCTTCTAAAAGGAAACAGAAGTGTTGTAGGCTCTGGAAATAAATCTAATAGATAGAATTATTTCTCAAAAATGGCCGGGATAGCCTGGTCGGTAGGGCGCTGGGCCCATGTCCGAGAGTTCGTAGGTTCGAACCCGGCCGGCCGAAGACTGCCCATGTAGTAAAGTGACTGATGCACGTTAAATCTGATGAGTCTCAAAAGTCCTCCATGTTCCCATAGCAAATCAATACCTCTGGGGGTACTGGATTCAGGTCAAAATTACGATCTGTGGATGAATAAATGGATGTATGAATGGGTCCGCCCTATAAACGGGTGCGACGTAAGGTGTGCAGAAGTCGAATTCTTGGCCATAGATGGCGCCACTGAAAAACAAGAAACGCACACTCTGCCTTAAAAATTTGTTCGGTTTTCCCCAAGCAGACTTGCCCGTGTGGCAAGTGGCATTAGAAACAACACAACAACATTTCTCAAAAATAACTCAGTTATCTGGTAAAAAAGAAGATGAATATTAAAAAAAAGCAAGCTCGTATTGATGTAGACGTCATGCTCATTATAGAAGATACAGAGTGGATAAAAATCACCCTTCAGTTATTGTTGATGAAAACATACTGATCTTCTCATACTTCTTCTTAATCATTTTCAAGAAAATTTATTTGATGTTTTCTGTGCAATATTTTCTTTTCTTCATATAAATTGCCAAAAGGGCAGACAGCTTCAGAAAAAAGAGCTTCCATATTCTAAAACTTCAGGAAAAACAACGGAGGAAATTAAAAATGCTGGTCTTATTGCCCTCTTATCGTTGCACATAGGAAAAACAGAAGACAGCTCACTAGGTGACATTTCGAACTTTCACAACAAAAGCAATCGATTGAAAACAAACGGAAGTTTTGCCTCCTAGAATGGATATTTATGTAAATTTAATTCTCTCAGAGTATATCATCAGTAATCACGTGGTTGTTGTTGTTGCAGTTAATTTAAGTCCACTAGAACTGCACTATGGGCTATTGGCGACGGTCTGGGAAACATCCCTGAGTATGATCCGAAGACAAGTCATCACAATTTTGATCCTCTGCAGAGTGGATGGCACCCCCGTTTCGGTTGCCCAACGACCTGCACGCGAAGTCGAGCACTTTAAGGTAGAGCAGTGTAACGAGGGCCCATACCGCACATCCTCGGTCTCTACGCGGACTGATCCAAGTGGTCTCCCACAGCACACTGACAGCAGCCAGTGATGCTTGACTTCGGTGATCTTCTGGGAACCGTGTCTTAACGATCAGTCCACTGCGGGACGGTAATCACGTGGATTCATTACGATAGGAATTAGAAATGAAAAAATCGGGCAATTTCATGAAGTTCTATATTGTATCTCGCAATAATATCAAAACGTTCAGCAAGCATACTTGCGTGTAATTATATCGCTGTTTATTGTATTGCAGGGCCGGATTAAGCGTACGCGGAGCCTTAGGCCATTCAAATTCTTAGGGCCCTTAGATTAAATTTTTTTCTCGTATATTTTCGCATTCGTGAGTTCGTTCCCCGACATCCGAGGACTCCCAGCGCAGTAAATGGTGACTGATGCACGTTAAATATGTCGGGTCACAAATTGTTCCCGTAACAAATCAATACCTATGGAGGTACTACTGAATTAAAGATTGATCGTTCTCTGGTTCAGGTTCAAATTGAGATTTGTGGATGAATAAATGGACATATGAATGGGTGCTCCCTATAAACCGGATGTAACGTGTGTGTGGCTGAAGTCCTATTATTGGCCATAGATGGCGCCACTGGAAAACTAGAAATACGCTTTCGCTTGGTTTCTTCAAGCAGGCTTGCTGATGTTGGCAAGTGGCATTAAAAACAACAACAACAAAAGTAAATAACGAATTACAACGGTCATCACCTTAGTTTCATTTTCGCAAACTTTCTTTTCAACTTTTTTAATATTGATTTAATCCAAATATTTTGCTGAAAGCAAAGCAATGAATTGAAAAATACAATACCACAACTCATTATTAATTAGCGCTGAGTAGTAAATTATTTCTATGTGGAATTTCAACTATTTTGAATCTAGAGAGAATTTACGAGAAGAAAAAATTTAAAAATCTTGATCATCAAAGCAAGTTGAATCTTATGCAAGCACCTCACCCAAACTATCTGGTAAATTAAATCATTGATGCAATTGTTTTTGGGAAGGAAGAGATATTTCCGTGTGTGTACCTCAGGTGAAGTTTCTTAAGACCGGTCGTACTAATAGGATCTTTCAACATCTTCACCCATAAGAGTATGTGAAATTCTCATATAAAAATGGATATAAAGTAGTTGTGAACACAAAAAAATTATGATTTTACTGCAATTAGTTTTGTCCTTTTACTGAAAAATCCAAAAAATAAAATTTTTCAATATAAACTATGTAATTATCATTAAATCAATTCAAATTTAAAACTAAGTGAAACGTCTTGCTCGTTTACAGACAAACTAGTACGTCTGCAACAAATCATAATTCATCGGTTAATAGTTTTCGTTAAATTGAATTACGCAACTCAAATAGAATAAATAAAAAGAAAAATTTAAATTTGACATTAGGCACTAAAAAGTAACGACCGCAACCATGAATATCAATGACGATTTCGCATAACGTTCCTTAAACATTTCTCTAAAATTTCAATTATTTCAAGCAAAATATTTATACAGGGTTATTCATAATCCCCCCTCCCCCGAGTTTCGAAGCGTTATATTAAAAAAACGACGATGAATATGGCAAAAAAGAACGTATGAAATTATTCCGAAAGTATTCAAGTTTTAATTTAAGCAGCTGCCGGCAGATGGCAGTAACATGTACCATTGAAGCCAGTTGTTATAAAGAAAAATGGCGTTTACAGGCGGAGGGAATTATGAATAACCCTGTATAATAAAAGTGAATAGCGCGCATAATAAAAATCACCTGAAACAGTTGCAAACGACGCAACTTTCTACATAGAAAACTTTCTTCATACGCCAAAAGTAATAGTGATCCTAATACAACACAAACTGACGTACTGGAAAATATCTAGAATGATTTTGACTGAGACTAGGCTTAAATTTTTCTTAAGCAACTCTAAATAAAACTTACCTATTGTATATATAAAAAAAGATAAATTGGATTAGTAAGTGCGTCAGGAGTTTAATTTATTGTTATGGGAATAGATATAGAATTAAAACTATAATCCAGTTACCCCAGAGAAATATTTATCTTAGAAACTAAAGATAAAATCAGCCAGTAGATGAAGCTATTCTTTTGTCTACTGATTACAAAACCTCGCTTTTTTTTTTCTTCCATATTTTTTGATCAGAAAGAGGTGAAAATTATTTGGAACAGTTAAAATGGCTTTTACTACGAACTACCTTTTAACTATTTTCTTTGTGTGTGGAGTTTGGTAAGATAAAAATGACAATTTTTACTTCGCTGTTAAATAAGAACTTCAATTTTTTGCTATGCAATTGTTTTTGATAGTTAGTTTCATTTTTTTTTCAGATTGGAATTAATTTATAAAAATTTTGGTGTCTAAACTTAATAGAATCTTTTAATATCTATATAAACAATGTTAATACTTCAACTTTACTATCCAGGGGAGTGAGGTGTTTTCCGACCCAGATTTTTAAGCTTCATCGATTGAAACTTACTAGTTTATAAAACTAAAAGTTAAAATTTTTTGTAAAAACAGTACAAGTAGTGGTTTATACCTATTTAAGGTGTAAGTTTTAATCTAAACAAGTGGGGTATTGTTTCTTTGATATTTGTTTATGCTACATTAAATGAGACTAAAACAAAGGTGACCGAGCTAATAGTTCAAAAGTTTAGCAAAAAAAATTATAGTTATATTCTTTTATTTATATTCTTATTTTATTGGTCTAACACTTCTATGTTGACAGTACAGGTACAGAATCGAAAATCAAGTCGATAGAACAAATAGTTCGGAAGTTGGGAGCAGTTTATGCAAAGAAATTATAATTTTTGCGCGTAAAACCAATACAATTTCGAAACTGTAAGGATTAATTTCGATTTTATTGAATTTAGCATAAAATATACACGAAGAACAGCGCGGCAGATATCTAGATGGTACAGTCAAAAGCAGAAGCAGTTACAAGTACGAAAATTGCACACTTTTTTTTTTTTTTTTTACTCTAAACTAATATAATTTTTCCATAAACCATTATAAAAATTTAACAATCTATTTCTTATTTTTCTTATGTTTTTAAAGTGTATAACACGTTTCCTCACAAGCTTAACAATTTTTTTTTATAAATTTGTATGTTTTATTTCATCGTTTATTTTTTAGTGTTGCACAAATATATTCCTTCGCAGACCAAGCTATGCATTAGGAACATCAAGAAATGGTTTTTTCAAAACTATTAAATACTACGCCACCATACAACACAAAACTAATACAACTTTTCCTTAAACCATTATAAACATTTAATAATCTGTTTCTTTTTTTTCCGAGAAAGTTTTTAAAGTGTATAACACGTTTCCTCACAAGTTTAAAAAATTTTTTTTTATAAATTTGTTTGTTTTATTTCATTGCTTATTTTTTAGTGCTGCACAAATATATTCTTTCGCAGACCACGCTATGCATTGGGAACATCAAGAAATGGTTTTTTCAAAACTATTAAATACTACACCACCATACAACGTAAAACTAATACAACTTTTCATTAAACCATTATAAACATTTAATAATCCGTTTCTTTTTTTTCGAGAAAGTTTTTAAGGTGTATAACAGGTTTCCTCACAAGTTTAACAATTTTTTTTATGAATTTTTATGTTTTATTTCATTGTTTATTTTTTAGTGTTGCACAAATATATTCTTTCGCAGACCAAGCTATGCATTGGGAACATCAAGAAATGGTTTTTTCAAAACTATTAAATACTACGCCACCATACAACGCAAAACTAATACAACTTTTCATTAAACCATTATAAACATTTAATAATCTGTTTCTTTTTTTTCCGAGAAAGTTTTTAAAGTGCATTGGGAACATCAAGAACGTTTCCTCACAAGTTTAACAATTTTTTTTTATTAATTTGTATGTTTTATTTCATTGTTTATTTTTTAGTGTTGCACAAATATATTGTTTCGCACAACAAGCTATGCATTGGGAACATCAAGAAATGGTTTTTTCGAAACTATTAAATACTACGCCACCATACGATGCAAGACTACGACCATTTGCTACTAAAAGTAAGACTCTGTCTCACTCTCTTCTAATAAATTTAAAATTGCCATATATAATCTATAGCCAAAAGATAACATGTTTTAAGATTAAAATATGAATGGTAATGCGAAATTAATTACAATTTAGTGTTTTCTTTTAAATACTATATGTCAGTTTTTTTAAACAAATTGAGCAAATCTCTGAAATGAAAGAAAAGTGAAATTACTAAAATAAATTTTATACCCACTTTTTACTTTTACTAGAAAAAAATCAATCATTTCAAGAAACAAGAAGAAAATACACAAAAATGATACTGTAGCCAAAATATACATATGAAGTATATTTTGATATTTGATGCATGAAGTATATTATTCACTCAATAACGGAAATAGATTTATTGGCATAAAAATGTCAATAAATCTATTTCCGCTATTGAGTGAAACAGTTCTAAATATTGCAAATATTTTATCAGGTTTCCTTAAAAAAAATCGTGGTTATGATTGCTGATATGTTTAGGGAGGTACTACAATTCAAATACAAAACAAAGAAAATGTTGTTTTCTTCTTATCACTTCGCTTTTCTAGAAAATCATAAACATTTTGTAAAAAAAATACATATTTTGTATTTTCTGACTCCTATGTGAAAAATAATCGACTTTGAAATTCGATATATATATATATATATGCATCTGATGGCAATCGAAGTTTCCGTTTTTTTAGACCACATTAATATAAATTTATTGTCATTTTATCGCATAGTGGACAGGAAAAGGGATAGAAGAAATAATGACAAAAGAAATGTCGTTTAAAGCGTGTTAAGAATTGAATTAATTTATCCTTTTAGTCCATTTAAAAAACGCAGTTTTAAAATTTTTCAATTTATTTCAATATGTGTTTTTAAACAAAATATGTTGCCAATATGTGTTTTTAAACATAAATCATTGTTAAGAAATGACTATTTATAAATTGCGCACTATATAGAATGATAAAAATCAGAGAATTGTACTTCGTCCAGCAGAAAAAATATCTATTATCAATTGAATTGATAACACTTCCCTTAAAAAAAAATTTTTATGCAGAATCCAATTCTTATTTAAATTCCAATTTTTAAAAATTGGAGGCAGTAACTACAACAAATTGGATGAAACGTCATAATAAAAATGATGTTGTAAATCCAAAATCATATTTAATTAATTCGTTGTATTGTTAAAAATTTAAACAAAAATTTTATTGAAATAAATTTCCAGTCAGAAAAAAAGTAAATAAATAAACATCTTTGTAAAACTTCCTAACACGTGTTTCTGAAGCTTTGTGTTAAAAGTGGAACAATAAAGTTATTTATCAGAACTGATATTTATCACATTTCACACATACATCGCAAGTGATTTTTAAAACTTGATAAATATCCAGGTAAAAGATAACCTAAGAATGATCTGGTTACAATCGTTCATTATCAACATTATTAAAAGTCAATCATTATACATTATTCAACATTATTAATAACAAACCTGGGTTACGACGAAATATTTTTTCAATTAAGGCTCGAAAAATGTACTAAAATTATCTTTTGAATTTCGTACAACTTGCAAACTATGGCTATGGAATCATTATTTGCTACAAAAATTAGTTCTAGATACCTTTATAAATAAATGAATGAAATAAAGTAGGAAAAATAAAAAAGAACTATATTTTTGAAAACGATTCGATGAATGGTGCTTTTGAGAATGCTTTTCTAACTTTCTGAAGAAAAAAAATAATTAAAAATTGTTCTTTTATAAAATAAGTGACGTGGCACTATTACTTTGATGATAAATTATTCTACATAAATTCAGTCTTTCAGAGAGAGCAGCAACGTAGTAAAATTTTACCCAAAAAAATTTCTTTGCGTATAAAATTTTGGAACATTTTCTTTAAATCGATACAAATACGATACTTATATAAATATTAGGAAGTCAAGTATTGTGCTTAGTGCTACAAATGGAGCCTGCAGAAACTATGAATGGCTTTTTTCATACTCAGACGATAATTGAAAATTTCACAAAACATATTATTACTAGCATAGTTAGTTTTCTTCTTACATAACCATAATATTTAAAAAAGAATTATTATTAAATAAAGAATAATGACGTCAAATGTAATTCTCTTTTTATAGACATACCTGTAAGAGTGAATGTTAGCATTTTCTTATACAGCGTATCTTCAGTTGATGATTTGAAAACGGTAAGGCAGTTATAATCTTGTAAATATATCTGTATCATTTTTTAGCTATTAAATAGTTAATCAACACCATTAAGGGCCTTATTTTCCAATAAATATCCTTATCTTCTAATTTTAAAGTAACATAAATATTTTACTTTAAATTACTAAAAATAATTATTACTTCATATTTTTGCTCCAAATATTAATTATTTAAGAACTGCGATGGCACAATTGTTAAGGCATTAAACTGTCATTGCGTTGGATGATAGTTGTATTTCCAGTGGTGATTTGAAGCCTAATCCAGTTAGATCAATCGATTCCAACTAGTCTGGTAAATAAAAGCGACTGGTGCGTAACCTACCTTCACAATATCATGTACCGTTTGTCTCAAAATTGTGAAGCGATGATCATGAATTTGTAATCTCATGACTTCCTTTGCCAACAACTGGATGTTTTAAGAACGTTTCTACTTCGAAAATATTAGTTATATAATTCACAATTTTTCACTGCTGTAGGGGAGAGTGGGGTCAATTATAACAGGGTACGATTGTAACAGAGCAAAAATTTCGAGTGTCGGGTTTTAGATTTGGTTCCTAGGTGGCGCACAAGGTGTATTAAATAAATCTACATGTACACACCTGATGGCAACCTTTTTTATGTACTTTTGAAAGAGTTGCATCACAAAAGATATTTTCACGCCACGCAAGTACTTTTTTTGGTATTAGAATATTATATTGTAACAAAGTAATTTTGTTTAAACAAATAAAAATTAGTAACCGAATATGTAAGTGGACACCTTAATTAACATTTCAATAAAAAAA